CGGTATCGACCAATGGAAGCCGGCGAAAGGGTGATACTTATCAATTAATAACTCGTGAAGGAGGCTTTTCTCCAAATTTTTACTGCACACCATAATGGATAGGAACCTAATTAATATCGTGAGGCATGAAAAAAAGATTGACAGATATTACAAACACCAGTGTTACACTAAAAATGCACGTAGACAGGCCTATATTTCAAATTTCAACGAAAAGTAATGAACATATCACAACGACTTTTAGCACATACTTGGATTATTATAAGGGAAATCAACCCCAAAAGTTGCATGAAGATACTGTCTTCCAAACCGGAGAAATTAATTTTCAAAGATTTTGCCCGCCAACATGAACATGTCTGTGTGCATGTAGTTTCATTAAAAATAAAGTGTTACGTAACCTTTAGTAATCGCCCTTCGCAATCACACTACTGTGTTACTGATGATGAACTTACAGTCTTTGAACATAAAAAGCCTGTGATCTGAGAAAACCAAACTTAGGAAGATGATGTATGAGTGGATTTGGTGTGGAATCGCCAACTTGTTTAACAAAAAATGAGGAAAAACGTTTTACGTATGCAAAGACATTCAAGGTGTGGACATAAACACGACACCAACCTATGGCGAAAAAAACAGACCGATGTGAACAAACAAAAAGGAAATGAATCAATAGTCCATCTGGGGATAGTTTACTGATCAGTTTTCGATAAATCAGCTGACCATGATGTTTGATTCACTCTTTGCGGTTCCATGTGTCAACATGTCAGAGGGGGAAAACGACCTTCCCTGGGCGTAGTACTTTTAAAGACCATGGTATTGAAGAATTAAGATATAAAACTGACATCCAAATTAAGACAACTGTCAAGAGTTTTCAAATGAATTAAAAAAATAACTGCAAATAAAAAACTAAAATATTGGCCACGAGTATTAGTATCTTGAAAATTCTAGAATGGCGAGGCCCTTCTGGTAAACATGTTTCTCCATTACAAATGGGATCATTATTGTGCTGCTGTCATTAATAATGCAGTTACTCCGGGGATGATACACAAAAAGAGTCACAATGTTATTACTGCCCTCCTTCTGACTCTCCTCCTTCTCGCCCAAATGTCAACCGAGTTTCAATAAAAAAAAACAATATAAATAAATGAACTTCTTTTCAATTATGAATGTATAGTTCAGTGAAGCGCAGTGCCGATATTAATGACAAAAAAGGGGGCGGCTATTTGGAGTTTGCTAAAACTGTAATTTCTTCTCATTGTCTCCTCTCTACAGGTTTCAGGCGGGCGAGCTACAATACCTAGGGCGCTTTTGAGGAATCCTTGGTTTCATTACCAGAAATAAATAAATAACAATAACAACAACAACAACAACAACAATAATAATAATATATAAAATATCGGTGTAGAGAGTTTACCCACTCCGAATAGCGCCCTCCTGTGTCCACCATGTCTAAAACAAAACATATCGTTTACAAAAATACCCCTTAATTATGACTTCAGACTATCTGCTATTTAAAATGAAATAATGGTTATAATCATGTAAAGACTACAAACATTTTTCATACAACGAATAAAAAAAAATAAGATAAGTACCAAAATCAAACTGGAATTAATCTAAATTGAAACGCTTCATAGGTGACGCTTTTTAGTTTCAAAGAAGTCTTCCCTTTCACCTTTGGAAAACGTCAAACGGGTCGTCATCATTTATAATTTAGTAACAGCGGGAAAGGTTCTCAAATAAACACATCCATTAACTGCGTGCCGTATGTCTCGTCTTCTCTGGCCACATTGTTTATTGATTTGAAATGAAGAGGAATAATGTTAATGCATCAGCACTCCATTTAGGCCTGAATAAAGAATCACTAAAAGCAATTGCTCTCGCATCTTTTTTGGCACCACAAAGTGCGCACGTGTACCTGGTTGATATAGTCTGGTACATGCAGAGACTTTGCATTTCAAGTTCAACTCACTTTTAACGATTGAAATCAAAGTGTCGGTGTTAAGAACAGCAGTGAGCAGCCATTGTAAAAGGTATATAAGAGGTCACCAATGGTCAAAATTTTCTTCCTCGCCTCCTGGCCTACTGTGTACAAACCAATGGGGGTCTTGACCAATATTGACCCAAGTAATAACCAGGCTGACAATGCATGTTACCATAGGAGGGTTAAGGTTACACACACCAAAACCTCGTCTTGTATAATTAACCAAAAACATAGCTTTACTATCCTGATGAACCACAGTCTTTAAACATGAAAAGCTTGTAATCTGAGCAAACCAAACTACAACTCTTTCTCCCAAAAGGGTTTTTCGCGGGTTTTTCGCCCCTCCCGTAATCAGCGAATACAATTATATTTTTTTCTTGATGTTACAAGATAGATCCAAATTCTTCGTGTTAACTGAATTCACCTTATAGTAAAGCCTGTTAGCGAGGTTGTTTCACACTGTACATGTAGTTATAATAGTTTTACAATATAGTGTATTTATACTATTTGCTAAACAATTATGCATTAGTCAAATAATGCTTTTATCCCATTGTATTGTATTTGTAATGTATTGTATTTGTTTATATACATGTTTGTAGTCATTTTGTTATTGTATGCAAGGCCTCAATGGAAACCAGTTTTAAACTGTTTGGGCAAACCCTGGGTAATAAATACATAAATAAACTTGATGTATGGGTTTATATGGTCTGGAACCTACAACTTGTAGGGAATAAACGAGGAAAACGCTTTACGTATGCTTAGACATTGAAGGTGTCGAGCTGGGCTGGAAAATGTTTGCTTGTGTAATTTGATGTACAAATAACGTAATTGTTATTCAAAACGGAATGCACACCCTGGCCAATGAAAAAAAGTTTCGTTGAATTAAACAGGGATCGAAGACGTGTGAATGAACACTTGGCCAAAGTCTTGGGAACACTACTTTGTAATTTGTCAACTTAAGCGCTGAGAGGTAATAATCATCCACTCTGAGAATGTTCAATGATTGACACAAACACTGCAAGTACATGTATACAAAACAGAATGACGTTTTCACTATTTTATCTCTCAGTGTTCTATTTCTTATTCATATAGTCGATCAAAAGTGCACCTCAAAAGTGCAAAGGAACTGTAGCCCAGAAGCATGTAGAGAAAGAAAAACGTCAAAGAAGCGAAAATTACTGAATGATGTTCCAGGGAAAGCCACAGAAATTAGGCAAATTAGGCAATGCCAGGCTAAATGGGATTCCAACCCGGGTCACTTCTTTAAAAAAAAAACACGTTGCCTTCTGATACGACGCCAATTGAAGTGAAACTGCTTCAGTCTGTACCATAGAGGCTTAGAGCTATCAATATAGCTCTATGGTCTGTACCCTATCACCATATTGCGTGCGTTCGTTCAGCTCACCCGGGTCGACACGCGGGTCAGCCCCGTGTCGTTCGATTAGCTCTGACGTCATTCTCGGGGCTCACCCGACCCGGGTCAGCCACAAGCAGACCCAACCTAGTCCCCAGTGCTTACTTTGTTTTCAACAGTAAACCCTGGATATGAACCTTTCTTACTGTATCCTGATTCAATACCGCAATTGGCTAGTAATGGATTTATGTCGTGTAGTTGGTGTTGTTATTTCCAACGTGCATTTCGTGTTTTCAAGATCATTGTAAATATAACCTCCACGCCTTCTCAAAAATACTCTTTTCCTTTCCAATTTGCTCATATTAATATGAAATGTGATATATGCATTTTGGCAGGATAAGATTGTAACATTTTAACTTCGAAAACAATCGTGTTTTCGTAACGCACGGTGCGACGAATTGATTGTGTTTTTATACCAGACACCGCATACAGAAACAAAAGCTAATGTAACACACAGGCAGCCTGAGGCAGGCACCAGACTATTCCTCATTTGCATACGTGTGCAAAAATGATGCAAATGATCCAATACCAGGGTGAGAGAGTAGGTAGACGCGTACTGCTCAACACCCTGAAGACGAGGTTGCCACAGACCGGCCTACTCGAGGAGCAGGGTCACTGGTGGAAGTACGTCACGCCTGCGTAGTGTTCATTCCCCAAAACGGACAAATGTGGTGGCCGGACAGCGGAAATCTCAAGTGAACTTAAAAGTTGACTTTATTTGAAGTCTAAAGGTAATCATTTATTGAGTTCATTGCGACTATAAGTTTGAGGCTATACAAATAAATTTCAGCCCAACTTTGTTGAAAGTTTTGCAAAAGCAGTAAATCTCTTGCTAAGACCCAATCCGAAACGGGCCGTTTGTCAGTGGCTCTGGATTGCGGCTATGGATGACCCGTCTGCCTTTACCCGTGTCGCGACCCGGGTGAGCTGAACGAACGCACCCATTAACAAAAAAAAAACTAATGACAGTTTTTCTTTAATGCAATCTGGCAGCAATGAATATTGTGGAATTTTTCGGTGAGACTAGTTGAAAGATAGTAATTCTTAGCTTTTCATACTTTCCATAAAACACGTCCACCCCTTAAATATGGGTGCATTTGTAATTTTACAAGTAAACTTACTGGCGCTGTATCTCACGAGCGAAAAGTGAACCGTGCGCTATGGCGTTAACAAACTTTAGTCCCTTGAGGGCGCATTTCTTTTGTTTACTATGCATGTGCGCTACATATGATGCAACATTTGAGACCAGGTTCACAGACCGCATGTCATGTAGTATACACTACACGCTACACACTTTTCACAGACCGCACGTCGTGTAGATACACTACACGCTACACACTACTGAGCACCCGAAACATCCCTCCTTGCTCTCATGCCAGAATTGGTTTCTTGCAACGTACACCTACAGATACAGATACAGATATAATATTAATTGGAACTAGTTTCCGCCACAGTGCCAAAGCTTTGATGTCTACAGCATCGACACAGTGATAAGGAGGTCTACATCATCTACACAGTGGTTAAGAGGTCTACAGCATCTACACAGTGGTTAAGAGATCTACAGCATCTACACAGTGGTTAAGAGATCTACAGCATCTACACAGTGGTTAAACACATTGTTTTCCGAGTAGAATTTGATTGTTGGCGTATTCCTTAAAAATCAAGGAATGTCATCTACTAGTGGAAAGGTAAATAAGGGTAGGTCTAGTATAAAATACTGTAAAATAGGCCCAGTTCAGTTGCTGGCATGCATGGGGTCGAGGGCACATTGCGCGTACCATATGCGGTGGCGGATCTATATCTCACAGTGGTTAATATTATCGCAGTGGCTATTGTTACGGCAGCCGTAACGCATTTCCCATTTTCTATCGTTACGGTAGACTGCAACTTTTATAAAAACATGACAAGAAAATATAAAATTAGAAGGAAAAAAGTGAATTTGAACATTATGATATTCGAACTTTATTTCCCTTTTAAAAAAAATCCTCCAAAGCCTCAGGTTAGAAAAGGAAAAAAATTCGAGTGCAAAATTGAGATTCGAACCCGCAACCTCGCGGTGCAAAATCCTACCCTCTATCGACTGAGCTGTCGCACTGCTCGCTAAAACGTGTGGAAACAAATAATTATATACCTGCGTGCGTATCAAACAAGTATCGTAGAGGGCGCTAAACAATGACTGCCGTAACGATAGCCACTTCGTAATATTATAAAGGGTGGAAGTTCGGGACGCCCTGCTAGCTCCTAGGTGGGTCTGGGGCGTGCCCCCGGAAAATGTTGAAGTCTATGATGAATGCTTTCTCCTGTATTTTAAAAGCAAGCATTGTCAGATAATAATATACATTTGACTGTTTAGGAATGTTAGCATGATATAATTTTTCATGTTTTTGCCCCTAGTACTACTAGTAGTACATGTACTAGTAAGTATCATAGTCAGCAGCTGAACCCGGGGTATGGGGAGGGGGCTCTAGATCTGTGGAAAGAAGTTATATCCTTACACCACTTTTTTCCATCAAATATCTCAATGAAGGTCAGTCAAAAAATATTGCAACTTAGACATCAATCTGGAACTGAGAAACATTTCCAATTTTGTTTGGAAATACTTTGAAAATGGTCTTGACTCTCCATAGACTTTGTACACAACCGCTGAAGTGGCATTTGGATACTACATTCTTTCCAGATCTTATGTTTCTTTTTTTTAATATTGGGACATATAATGAAATAGGTTAAGGAACTAGACAACATGGACAAGGCAACAAAAGAAGATCCCAGATGTCCACGCCCGCATATAATTTTTTTCTCACGGTTATAAATATCTAAAAAAAAATGTTCGATAGTAAAAAAAAAAAGAATTTTAATCGTGCATTGGTAAATGTTCCTTTTTGTTGCCTGCTGTAGCGTGGGAAAAGGGAAGTTCATCTCTCAAAGGCTTTGACGTATGTGCTTCGACATAACGCAGTGGAACTAGGTTTTGATATAGACTCAGGTAGGAACAAGTTTAAATATTCCATTTCTTCATTCTGTGTCTGATACAAGGGCGGATCCAGAGAGGTTGCTGCCGGAATTTGATTTGATTTGATTTGATTTGAAATTATTCAACCATAGCAGCCAAAAGCTGAATTGCGGTTAAATTTCATTAAAAAAACATTAAGAAAGTTGCTCATAAAAAACAAAATGATGAATAAAAATAGTAAGGACAAACATTGAACATTAAGTTAAACTAAATCATGTGAAGATTAAAATGTGTTACTGCACCAGGCAGATTTACAGGGATCAAATTCAAGATGAATCACTGTTCGTAAAATGCATACTGCTAAAGAGAAAAAAAAACACTGTAAAAAAAACCTTTTGAAAAAAAATTTGGTCACTGCCATGGGTGGGGGGGGGGGGGGGGGAGGGCGCCCCTCTGCACCCCCCTCTGTGATGATCACTAAGTGAGCTAAACTTGATCCTATAATTCCAGTTTCCTGATTTGGACTATTTGTGCATGGTAATATAACTTCACTCAATAAATTTGCACAAGAAAGGACTGTTAGAGGGCAGTATGATCATTTGTGTATTGTATAAATGAAAGTTGGGCAAGGAAAGAAAAATGATTTTCAATACAATCAACATATTTATAGCAAATTTGCACCTCAAGAAGCCTTGATAAATAACACAATGGCTAAATTTTTGCCTCATTTGATTTTATTGACAACAAAATTTGTTATCAATGATGAATTTTCCTGAGCTGTAACTTTGTTAATTGTGACTTTTTTAAGTTTTAAGCATTTGAAAATACTCATGTTTATGGACATTTTTTTTTTCATTTTGCAACTTTATTTCCTTCCCCCCCCCCCTCTTTTTTCATAAGGGGGTTTCATCAATGTTGAGGATCTCTTGTCCCACTCGATGTTTAGGCAGTTCACCCTGGACGACATCAAGACAGTAGTTACCGACAACGACAAACAACGCTTCTCACTCCGTGAGCATCCTGATTCTGGGAAACTTCAGATCTGTGCGAATCAGGGACATTCCTTCTCGGTTGGTGTCCACTCTTTGGAATCCAGATTGACTCAGACCATCACATAGGGTGCAACCAAGTAAATAAATCCCCTTATGCCAGTGATAAATCCCCATACTTCAAAATTCATTTAAAAATACTCAGAACTCACACACGTGTTCATCAGGCTGCACATAAAAATGATTGACAACAATGTCGTCTTTTATTTTCCATTCAATTTTTGGTGCGTTGACCAGTTACTTTTTATTTTCTCACCCAAAGAAGACCACCCCTAAAACGAATAATTTCCCAAACTGGAAAAGTATACATGCATTTTGAAAGAGGATCTCTCCAGGCCTCCACAACATGGCTAAATAGCGCCACTTTCGGACCCAAATGCATCAGAAATTCTCAGAATTGGAAGCCCCAAGTCCAGGTCTTCAATCCCCCAATTTCAGCTCTCTAATATAATTTCAATGTATAACAGTCATTCATGAGACACACAACTTTATTCAAAGGGCCAAGGAAAAAATTGATTGCCAGATAACAATAAGGTGGTTAAGTACTTTTGTAATTTTTTGGGTTTTTTTCCAAGCATTTGTAAAGTTAACATGTAAATCAACTGTTCATTCTGCATTTGTTGTACTGTTCAAGGCATCACTGCAGTACAGTGCAACAAGGCTACACTGCCGACCAATAATAATAATACTAAAACATGTAGGCTTAGGTCCTTAAAAACTAGGTTTGGGGCAGCACAATATTATTTTTCGAATAACAATATTTAGGTTCTGCGTAATTTTCTAGGCTGGGTGGGCAACCAGAAACACACATTTTTTTTTCTTGGCCCGGTTGCTTTTATTACAGAGCTATATCAGAGAGAGTCACAGATGTAAGTCACAGATTCAAGATGCAGACTCGCGTCGGTGATTGAAGTAACAGACTAAAGTCTCAGACACTAGGCAGAGACTTGAAATGGCGTTTGCATTCTATACTTTACAAATCCTGAAAAGAATATAATGAATACGTGAAAGAGTTTTGATGTATAATCTTAACTGCAGTTGCCTGACTTGGAGTTAGCAGCCATCACTGATGCAGCCCAGTATCCGACAGTCGTTCATGGGACTTATCTGAAGAACTGGGAGGCCATTAAAAATCAGGTAAATGTTCTAAAATGAGAGAATAACAGATGACCACATTGATAGAATATCAGTACCATTGTTTAATTGATGGATTTTGTTTATTTTGGAAAAACAGCATGAGATGAGACATTGGGCTCTGCAGTCGAGCAAAAACATGTTTGGAAATATGATTATCTGGCAGTATACAAATAATGAATGTTTGTGAGTGCAATGGTAAGAATACTTTCATTCAGTGACAGATGGAATGTTCCATTCCACGAGGTGAAGCCGAGTGGAATGGAACATTCCATCTGTCACTGAATGAATTTATTCTTTCCATTGCACGAATGTGAAACATTCATTATTTGTTTACAACACCTGAAAAAATCTTCATCATCTGACTTGTCAGAGCCACCAAAAGTGTGACCGTGAAATAGAACTTCTATTTCAACGGTGTGGCCACGGACTGCGTTGGGACGAATAATTCAATGACACGTGATCAACAACCCACCAATCAGATGACGGGGATTTCTTCAGTCATTGTATAAAAGGTACCAATTAACACCGTTGAAGCCGTCTGTAGCGGATACCGTGTGTTTGTGTAATGATGTATGCAACCTCTGTCAGCTGCCAAAATTTCCTTGGTGTTATCAAAGTAGGGGATAGCATTTATTCTCATAAAGTTCTTGGGGAAGTGCCCGCCCAACCCTCCAAGAACCTACATGATTTGGCCACCAATGACCTTATCTACAAGGAAATTATCTTGTCATCCCAGGTCGAAATAAAATAGAGAAAAAATATATTTATTTCCTATTGAAAATACATTTTTTAAAAATCTTTTTTTTTCCATTGTATTTCGACACCCCCAAAAATAGCGACAAAATAGAATAGTGAAAAAATGTCTTTTAAAAAAATACAGGTAAAATAGAGGTAAAATAGGTTGCTTTTTTTAAAAAATAGCATGCTATTTAAAAAAAATTATGCTATTTTTAAAAAATACAAAATGGCGTCTGTCCAAACAACTGTTATAATACGTGGACATCCCATGTTAATAGTACACATGTCCTTGTGGACAATATAGGCATCTTTAGCAGTCCTCAATGAAGTGAGCAAGCAATATGACTGCATAAGAATGGAATAATTGAGAAAAAAATTCATGTCTATTACCATGAACAGTTATAATGCTGTGACAACACAGTGTCCACACAATTAAACATACACATACATCATGCACCATCAAGTTATTAAAACAGTTTAGTTCAACATGCTACGGTTGTGCGTGATTTTTCAGCAAAATACAGCTTGAAACGGTACAAGAATGTTACTCATAATTGTCCTGGAAAATCTACTAACCATGTGGTGCACTTGTCACTCCATTACAGTGATTTGGATGCATTTTAACCCCAGATATACTTGCCCCCATTGCACACATCTCTACTGCAGCTGTGCTTCACAAACGGCTCTCAGAATGCAACTGACAAAATTCAAACTTGCCACACACACAGGATGTTTATCTGGTATGCAAATTAAGTGCTTGGCCTTCAGATTGTGTTGTACTGAGCATATGTCTACAAAATAGCAAAAAAATAGTCCATGGTTCTCATAAACATGTGTAAGTGTCCAGAAAATAGACGAAAAATAGACTGCGGACCACACAAAAATGTCTAAGTCTCCAAAAATAGTCATAAAATATCGTGCAGTTTTAAAAATAGAAATAAAATAGAGTGGCAACATGTACTCATTTTGACGTAATAGAAATAAAATATATTTTGTTCCTATTTTCTAGGAGAAAATAGCTTAAAAATGTATTTTCAATAGGAAAAACATAGGATTTTGCCAGAAATTTTCTATGAGGGATTGATAGATACTAGTTTGTATCCATTTCCTTTTCTGTTTTTTGTAAGGGTTTGAGTCGCATGAACAGGACCCATGTCCATTTTGCGCAGGGTGAACCAGGGGAAAGTGGAGTGATCAGTGGTAAGTATTGACGAATGGTGTATTGTCATATCAGGGAGCAGAACACCTCAAATATTTGTGACAGACTGCCTGTAACTAACTAAATAAGTACATATGTATGGCACAATAATGTGAAGGTGTTTTTATCAGTGAATTGGATTTGGGTTGCTTGAATTTGGTTGGACCAATTTTGTTGGGTTTTCAAAAAGTGTTCACTAAGATTTAGGGGCCTATTCGAAACCCTTTTCTCAAGTGACCAGCGAACAGCGCGTGTGGAGTGCAGCTGGACGAAAAATCAAGATGGCAACCGTCATATTAAAACACCGAATGAAAAGAAGGGAAAACTAATTATCTTACAAAAAAACATTAATCCCGGAACAGCTAAAAAAATTGGCAAAGACAAACCCACTCCACGATCACGTACAATTTTATTTTTTATCATTAATACTCCTGCACTGAATGAGTGCTTTCAATTTCATACACAGAAAATAACGCAATTTGCGGAAGCGGCCTAAGTCCGCCATCTTTGTTCTTGACGTTCCTCATCTACTCCCCAATAAAGTGAGGAGTGAAAATCCTGTTCGCGAACACTGTTGGCATGTTGGTTCTCGTCATTCGAAAACCTGTTCTTGTGTTCATTTAACACGAGAATGGGGTTTTGAATACGCCCATGAGGTACACTGTATGAAGGGGTTTATGTCAAAGAGCAACGTTAAGGCCAAAAAAAAAAGTCTCCGGTTTCTGGTATGGAGCTTGTCCAAAAAGTGGTGCGGCGACGCGGCTTTTTTTTTTTTTTTTACCTGACTTTTTTGCTTTAAATGTCGACTGATGACTGCAAATGGTGCCCGACTAAACTTAGTGCAAATATATGGGAGTCCAGAGAGGCCACATAAAGCTTATTCTCGATCATAACCCCATCTAAAAACACGTTAAAATTGTGCAGCAGCAGGATTCCAGTCAAACCAGTGAGTTTGGCGGTTTTGAGACATCATCTTTCATTGAAAAATTTTTTTTTTCATTTTGCCGACGCGCATGGCTACGGCGACGCGCGCGCATACCAGAAACCGGAGACTTTTTTGGGGGGCCTAATCTACCAAGTCCATGAAAGTTTATGAAAAATTCTAGCAGTGTTATTTGTTAACAAAGGTGATCATGTATAATTATTTTGATCGAAGTTTCTGAAAACTAAGGCAATGTACATGTATGTTTATTATTTGCCATTCGCTATCCTCACAATAGAAACATACACCTAATGTGCACTTCAAATGTTTCATGTACAAATACTGTAGTTTATGCCATAAAAAAAAATAACTCGGTCTCTGGTCAGCACGCGCGTCGATTTTAATGATGCGCGTCAACCTTTTTTTTCCCAAAATGTTCCGCGGTAGCACCAAGGAATGGGAAATTGCACCAAGGCAAATGATCGAGGGCACCAAGGCAAATTATGGAGGACAGCAATGTACATGAGGACACAAAAAAAAGCAAAATAGTACCCCACCTTGTCCGTACAATCCAAGCTTGAAAAAAAAAAAAAGCCGCGTCGCCGCATCAATTCCGGAACTTTGGCCTGACCAGAGACCGAGTATTTTCTTTTTTTGCCTTAAGTGGATGATTTATTTTGATTGTATTTGCTTGCCAGGAATGAGGCGGTCCTGTGATCTGATGATTTTCCTGGACCTTGAAAAAGCATTGAAAGGTAGGCTGCTTTAAGATGCCCCACCACAATATGCTGTACTTTAAAACTGATGTACGCGTAATTGGCTTTTACTATTCATAAGATGGAATTTGCGTTGGGGTGATGTAAATCAATGTTAGGTTTTGCCCTTCACCGACGTACAAACACTGTATACTCAGTGTGTTACCTCCCTTGTGAAAGTTGAAAAAACTCTAATCTAAAACTCTAAAGTAATTGTTTTTAAATGGCTGTATATTTCTAAGAATTTCTTTTCATTGCACCCACAATTTTAATAATAACAAAAAAATGCAGCTCTAAAATTTGTTTGTCTTGATGAGAAATTGGAACGTTCTGGCACACTAAAATATTTATAATTTAAATGCTATTTCCCAGGTTTGCAGCATTGCTAATGTTGCAAGCATTGTGACTTTGGGCGTGATCCCTGGCTACATGGCATATGTGGGTTAATGGCATCTGACTAGCACCCCTTGAACAAAGACATTGACATAAGTGGGGAACTGCCAACATAAGGCTGGATAGCTCAGTTGGTAGAGCACCGGAATCCCGCTCCAGTCAATTTCTTTGTTCAATTTTGAAGAAAAAAAAAATTGATTTAAATAAGCAAAATTCAGGACATTTTTTTTACTGGCTGTCAAGTTTATTTACAGCTACACGAGAAAAACCTATAATACATATGTAAAATAAAATAACTGAGACTCATAACCCTAAGTGAAAACAAACAAACTCAAGGTACCTGTGTAGGCCTATGTCATAATTTTATACTGTTTTGCAAAGTATCAAATTAGACACAACAAATGCTGACAAAAAAATGGTACATGGTAACAGATCAGCATAGAATGTCCGACGCACAGTACAACCCTTAAATTCACCCCTTGGTAAAATTTCACCCAGGAAGTTAGATTTGAGACAGCAACTTTGTAAGACATCGTGACAGAAGTTACTTCGTAATCACAGCAACAATCACTTACATAAGGAAGACAGGTGTATTTCCACTTTAAACATTTTAAAGGGGACTTTAATTATGACCTGTTGTCTTGTCTTTGCAGAGGGTTTGTCATTTTTTCTATCCAAAAACGGAGTTATCCTGTGTCCAGGAGACCAAAATGGTTTCATTCATCCCAGGTACTTCAAGCAAGTCATACAGACTCGACCACGTGAGTGTCAGTTAATTATTTCAATGTAAAGGCATATAGGATCATGTGCATTTTGTTTGTTTCCGATAATAACACCAGTGAAAATCTAAAGAAGAATGTTGAAAACCTAACCTGTTGAACTTTCAGCTCGGTGGATGTTACACTTTTCGAGGAAAAAGTGAAAACCCCTGCACAACCTTGGTTTGTCTTTATAATTCCTTACTTCCAAAAATCAGCCAATTGACTGATCGTTGGAAATCACCCACACTTCTTGATTTCCTTAAATGACAGCAAGCCAGATGGAATAATTTCATAGGGTGTTTATTACCAGTATGATCTTAAATCCAAATATACTTTTTCAAAATAATTCAATAGGTTGCTTTTCTGATAAATGCCAATGATCCTATATGCCCTTAAAGCAACAATGACATTTTGGACCAGTGTTTCACAAAATCAGACATCATTCATGTATCATTAACAACTGTAAATGTCATCAATAAATGTTTAATTACTTGTACACCCAAACGTGTGTTCACCGTCGATCGTGGACGTACTATTGTCCCTCTTTTGTTTGTACTGTAACTTTTTAGGAAGACTCCCATAGGTTTTGTACACCACCCCAATCGCGGACGTATGCTGGGAATCGTGGACGATATTGTTCTCTTTTGTTCTCTGGTATTTTTCGTCCACGGTTTGAAAAGATGAACACGTACACTCATACAAGTTGATTGAGCAGAAATATGATGCACAGATAACTTAATACTGTTAAGAAATAAACACCAATTTGTTTCCTTTGTTGACACAATCCTGAACAAAAATACACAACTTGACACACTGTATCGTTTCTGAAGTCGTGACACCAGTCAAGAATCTATAACCTAGATGTTGAGAATCTAATATCATATTCAACTTGATTTCAAGCTTTGAGTGGTGGAGTAGAGAGTGGGGGCTTGCATTTGCTTCACCTAATAATCTCTTCAGGAGAAAAAGCAGTGACGACATAAAACTCAGATCCTGTCAACATTTTGAAAAGAATGTGCAAGTCATTATTCAGACATGTCAGAAGGGCAGAACATTATCCTAATAACTTATTATCCACTTCGCGTCTGATGACGTTTTAACATGATCTGGCTGTTTCTACATACAGGCACAGCTGACGGGTTAAAATGTCAAGAGTGCCTCGACTTGCCTCCGGGTGATGTCTAAACTCGCTAATCCACCATTTGTTTTGTACACACACACAAAGTCCGAGAAGTCTGTGGAGGCAGACTGTGTGTTGTACTTGAACTTGGCCACTGTGCACTGCCTGTTGTGATACAATTTACGCTGAAAAATTTAATTGAAAAATATGAGGTTGCGGTAAGAAATATCCGCATACAAATACCGTTGAAATGACTCTTGCGAATCATTAGTTGTGGTGTTTGGCTGTAATAGTGTACATCAAAAGTTGGCTGCTACATTGTATATCATGCCTTTTTTTTGACAATAAAAATGTTCAGCAAAAATAACCCCGGCACAAACTGATTAGGAAGATGTCACGTTGTTACCGCAGACTGATATACTAACAATGTACTAACTTTGTGATGTAACCTTTGTGTGTTTGTCATAGGCCGTGTGATGCCTCTCTGAGAAGCTCTGGGCTGGGTCTCATCATTTGGATTGTAACCATGCACCATACGGAGCAAAATGTGGTTTATCCACAGCAGCAGCGAAGTAGCCACTAAGACCACACACTGTAACTGGTTAGCACAATAAGTAAAGACCTTTTGGTCCACTATAAAGCTAAAATGATTTAGACTCAGAAAGTTATACAATATGCATGATTTACATGTATGTCAAAACCTGAAGATGGTAGGGCACAGTTAGGAAAGTACATTTTGAACACAAATTTAGAGATTTCAATCACATAATGTAAGGTTTTGCATTTATATTAATCACCAAGGAAAAGAAAGTAAAGTCTGTGCCGAGCCAGTATGGCCCATCAGGCTCTCCTGTATCTCCGGTTTCTTAGACATGAAACAACTGAGAATATTTCCATGCCCCCTGGATGGGATGCCACTCTGTAGATCTGCCATAGGTCTGACTGTGTTACTTGTTGGACTCTGGTACGATGTCTTGCTTCCACAGGAACTCTGGCAGATAAGCAGAAGCTCCGTCACAACTCTTGGCACAGGTGTAGATGAGGAGTGTACCCCAGTCTATGCTGGCCTCCAGACTGTCAACATCTAGGTGTATTAAGAGTTGAGGCATCACCTAGACCACACAAAACAAATGGGTACAATAACTGGTATGAAGAGCACATAAGATGGCTAAGCCATCTGGTTATGGACAAGTAAAACAAAGGGGGGTGTCTGGCTAAAACTCTGGCTAAAAATTAAAAAATAAAAACAATTAGGTAGGTGATATGAGACATATAACATTTATCACTTTCTGTGCAAACCAAAGTAAAAGAGTATCAAAGGTTCATGCATATAAACATTTATAGACAAGGTTCAATGACATTTATAGAAAAGAGAGTATATTTTCTGCAATTTTTTTGAGAGAGCCAATGTAGCGTGGCTCGAGTTTGCTTACAAAAAGTACGAGAGTCCATGATGCACTGCTGCGAGCACCAGATTTTACTTAAACTTGAATTGCTTTCCTCATTCTCAAGCAAGGTAAATTTAGCAGGACAACTCACTGCTTTTGATTATCTTAATTGGAATAGCCAAAAAAAAGATGTTTTAAATCTATTTAAATTCACTTAAATGTATTTTCTGTTGTAAAGCCCCAATTCGGATAGAATGGGCATTAATTTAGATGCTATCTGAGGCTTTGGAGAGTGAAGAGTATAACTTGAGAAAGTTGCCTAAAAAGAGAAAGTGGTTCTGAGAAAGAAACTAGCCTACATTTGTAAATGTTTTCATATCAATCCAGAATGTGCCCAAAAAAAAAAATTCAACACCTTCTGTTCCTCTAAGAACCACTTACTATTTTCGAGTCAAACTTTGAAATGTATTATATGGATATATTTTTACCCAGGAATAAATAAAAGTTTATTATTTTTTAAAGAAAATAGATGAATGTGGGTTTGTTTTTAATAGTCTTGTCTCTGACTTGTGCTGTGGCTGTTTTACCTGAAATTCAAAGTGTCTTTCAGAACCACAGCTACTGCAGGGTGGGATGTCTTGTTGCTGTGGCTGATTCTCGCATGATATCAGAAGCGGCTGGCCTCCAAGCTGATACCTGATGACCTGTGGGGATATAAAGGGCATTGCTTTCCAGAAATGTCATGGTTTGGGATTGAGGAAGGAACAAAAGTATGGCGCTAACTGGACAATAGACCTTGCCCATTAAAGCAGAGTTATAGGACATTGGTTTTGTAATGCTTGCATAGGCATGAGTAAATCTCTTGTGCATCATTGTTACTGAATTAAAATGACAAAGAACACCCGCTAAGGTACCTGCAATGCACAAGTTTCATTAGTTAAAATGTTCATAACACAGACTCCCTAGCAGCGTAGGCTAGAGTCGTCAGTCCCCAAGATGGCAATATTCTGTTCACACACATTTTGGATCTCTGTCAAACTTTAGCAAGTATAGTTGGAGGAGTTATCAGATTAGAACATAGGCCTTGCCATCTGTAAGTTGCCAAAGTCAAATTTGAATGAGTGATGTATACAAGCACTTCAGAATCTATAAATGTTCAAGAAGTTGGACTACAACAGATTTAGAGGATAGTCGTGATCACTGTGTATAAGATTACTTAACAATTGTCACACCTGAAGAAGTGTTAGTGCTTATCAAGAGCCCATTATATTTTGTTGAATGTAAGTACATGCAATTATGTCTTAACAATGGCATCTCCATTTTTTCTGTATTGATTAATACAATACCAGAGTGGGACCTTGGGTGCAGAAAAAACATGCAAAACAAAATCAGGCCAACTTAACTCATTCCTTAGCTGACAAAATTCTCAAACATTTTCATGAGGCGAAGACAAAATCCTCAGTATTTCACCAGCCAAGTATGAGGTCTCAATTCAATTTTTAAAGGATATTTTTCTTCAATGTTTCTCACCTGAGAGTGAAGCCAAGTAATTTCCATTTGAAGCCTAAGACTAGACTGGTACATGTCCAATTGTTTGAGGAGATTGACGTTTCAGTAGTCTGGTAAAATGACTAGGGAAATGTGTAGAAATAGAGATTAGGTACCAGATGTTTCTTTTGACACAGTTAAGTTGATGCAGTACTAAAGGGTTGTTGGACTTGTTGTTTCATGTTGCTTTTCACTTGTTGTTTTTCTTTTGTTGCATGTTTTTTCTATCTTTACTTTTACAGTACCTGATCTGGCTCATGATCAGTGCGCTTCTTGAACTTGGCAAACTGTCGGTCTTCCTTGCTCTCACTCAGTGCCATCTTCTCAAGTTCTGCCACGTTGATTTCACTTTTGTCTCCGGTGTCATCCTGAACATGGCTTTCCTCTTTCCCACCATCATCCATGTCTTCGTGATGGTAGTCTTCTGACTCTGTAACCAGCTCAAACTCTGGAAAAAGGATCTGTTTGCATCCATTGGCTATAGAACCTGTAAAAAAAAAAGCAATTTATATCAAAATTAATTTCACTTACAAGTTACAATGAAAGAAGGTTGTACTGGAAACCCAACTAACAATGCATGGTTACAAAAACATAAAAATTAAGTGTGGAAAGAATTCCATTCCTTGACATCATTTGACACCCTGTGCACAAACCCTATGAGACTGGTCTTGAAAAATGTAAGTGTTTTCTTAAATGCATCCATATTTTCCCAGCTAAAATTTGACTTTTTAGGACATGTTATCGCTTTCTGACATGTCTGATGGCTGATGATAGGTCATTGCAGGAAAGAATTAGTGATGTCAATGTATGGAATTCTTTCCATTAGTATTTCACACTTTTCTTCTAACTGGCATTAGTTTAGATAGTTAATTTTCCTTCTTTCTTTCTTTTTTGCAATAAACTGTTCAGTTCTTGTTTTATTCTATTTATTTATTTTTTTATAAATAAATATACATGTATACTAAATGGTACCTGTTGAGCCACACTCTTTTCTATGCCCAGCTTTCCAGTCAATTAGCTGATGCTCCCGGCAGCAGTAGCTTTTCATATGGCACTTTGCACATTTCTTTCCTCCGAAACAGCCGCACACTGCACACAAACTATCATCGGTTACGTCACCACCACTACTATTGCAGTCTTTTCCTTCTCCTAGAGGAACGTCCTCATCTGGTGGCTCATAATCATAAAATTCATTCTCTCTGGGCAGCTGGCTTCTGAAAACAACGAAAGCTGCGTTGTCAGAGTGTTTGTGACAAGTCGGATCTCTGCAGCAAAAGATAAACAATGTCCTGTGGAAACACGTGCCCTGTTCGGTAATGGGGCAATACACTTGCATCAGAAATACGCAAACAGCGCCACACTTCCTACAGTTAAGCTTCTCACTGGTTGGGATATCCGTCATCGATAACCAAGCAGGCTTACCACCTACTTTACTTGGGAAAAACTGTCTGGAGAGTCGCCAGTTTTCAGTCCTTTCTACGAAGCCCAAAGTGGTTTCCTTGCAGGCCCTGGGCGCCGCCATCTTGTTTGGCACGGGGATTTAAATTGGCTCTTTCATAAAAGTTGAATTTTGAGGAACTGAACTCTACATTAAACACATGTTAATAATTGGAAATTTTCTCATCATTACTAATTACTCTTAAAAAAAATCCAGCATACAAGCGTTATAGGTAAAGTTTCACTAATTGAAGAAAAGAAACCGTTTTATAGAAGTCTATGGTCCTTATAGGGCGCCCTCATGTTGTTGTTGTGAACAAGTTTTGCCCTCAATTTTCCAGTGTAGCAAAAAAACTAGCAAGCTTTGATTCTTTGGAAATTTGTCGGAGTTATCGAGGCCTTCATATTAAAAACTATGAGTGCTCAATCAAACGAATCATGGAGGATGAATTCACCAGAATTAATACAGCAGGTATGTACATGTACTTTTACTTTTTGGTAGGAAAGTTGTGGACATGAGAAATGTTTTGGAATCGGAATCATCCGCTCGCAATTGTTGCCATTTTCTGTTTGTTTACACCTGATTGGGTGTGTGACTCATTTCTTCCTTTTATTTAACTAGGCACTGCACGTTTACTATTTTATAATACAAGTACAACTTACAAGGAAAATTCTTGACCATACATTACTAATTGTCAGGCCTGTAGGCATCATTTATAAAAAAAAAAATTATAGTTTAACATCAGGCATTTCAGGTGTAAATAAAAAGTCCCAACAAAATTGGCAGTGTAACGTTATTAATTGATAGTGGATATTTTGCCGGAGGTAATGACGGCAAACTAACGATTACTAAAGGTTTGCCGGCGGCAATCCATATCAACAGAGGGCGCTGTACTCTTTAAAATAGGGCTGAATTACATGTATTAAATTCCCACCAAAAGTTGTGTAGCACGTTTGGTGTAGTGGTTAAGCAAAGGCTCTAGTAAGCGCAGCGGGATGACTCGCGTTCGAATCCAACCGCACCACATTTTTAAGTTTTTTTGTCTCATCCCCAAATAAATAAGAATATTCTTCTTTTATTATTTTAACATGTCTCAAACATTTTTTGCAGAGTATTACATTTTCTTTTTCAGATTTGTGGCTCTGGAGGATTTTTTTTAAAAGGGAAATAAAGTCCGAAATTATAAAATGGTCTGAATCCCATCTTGTGAATACGAGGTAACAACGATAATTTTGGCATGGAGCCAGACTAAAACTTGTCACCGGAAAATGTTTAAGTACAAAAAAACAGTAACTGCGCATGTTCAGTGCATATCCGGCAAACTAACGTTTACTAAAGGTTTGCCGTCTCCGGCAAAATATACACTGCCTTATTAATTTGACCATGGCAGTGTAACGTTATTAATTTGTCCCCGATTGTTTATATTCTTAGGAAAGAATTCCATATATGGACGTCACTTGACACCGGTGTACAAACTCTATGACGCTGGTCTGAAAAATTCTGTGTTTTCTCACTAAATGCTTCAATATTTTCCATGCTAAATTTGACTTTTTAGGACATGTTATCACTTTCTGATGGCTGATGGGTCATTGCAGGGAAAAAATAGTGACGTCCGTATATGGAAATCTTTCCTTTACTTCATTTACAACAATGTACTAGTATTGTACTACCATACCGGCAATGAACTGAACATGTGCAGTGACTGTTTTGGGGGACTGAGAATTTGTTACCGTGACGAACTTCGGAAAGAATGTTGCAACCTGACGCCACTTTTTTCTTCACATATCATCTCAATGACATGATCTTTGGAGTTATAATGGTTGGGATATTGTGAAGTGAATGTCCTCATTCCTGCAAGAAAACAACATTTCCTCTTTTTTCTGGCCTCTCCTACATAAAAAAGTGTGTCCTATATTATACATCATAGCCAGTGATGTTGAAAAGCAACAGGAATATCATTGAAGCAGGCTGGGGTTTTGATTGATTTTTTTTTCTCAAATGACAACAAAATGCAAAACCACTGCTCCCTTTGCAATGCATCGTGAATGCACAAAACTGTGTTAATTCACATAGCATCAACTAGAAATTTGGGTGGCCAAATCAAAATTTCTACCCAAAATACTATTCAAAATTACAAAAACTTGGGTCACTTGAACCATGGAGGCCTTGCTTGAACATAAGATTGATTAAGGTAGCTGAGATATTTTGAACAGATAAAAACACTATAAGAGCTACATGTAAGGAACAGGGCCCTTCAAGTTGCAATCGCCAACAGTTGCCACAGGTCAGCTACAACCATGACAACCTTGATTCATCCCCAATGCCTGAAAGGTGTTGTGATCAGAAGATTAGATACACCTAGACAGAAAATATTTTCAAAAAAAAACACATGAGTTTTTAATTGTTCCTTGAGATGGGCTGTTTCTGTGTTTCTGTAACAAATTGATAAGAACAGTGCAACGTTTTATTACTCAATGCCTCCGAAATAACTATTTATCAATTAAACTACAAACATGTTCTTGACACTACAGATGGCACTGCTGGCCTGGCTGAACAAAAAAGAGGATGGTGATTCGTTCTACAAGTTGGTCTCCACAGCCAGGGTGTGGTATGAACTATACCAGCGGGTCAGCCACAGTGATGAGATTGATGCTTATAAGGCAAGTACAGAAAGTGAAAGAATGTAGGAATACCGTAATTTCCTGCGGATAAGACGCGTCTTATCTGACTTTCTAGACCACAAAAACATCGCTGCGCCTTATCTACAGGTGCGCCTTATCTGGTGTCGCTTGAGTTCAAAGTGACGGTCTTTGTGTGAAGAATTCTTTCAATGCCGCAATCAATAATGCGGTCAACCAAGGCTCAACTCTCCAGACATTGTGACCGTATTTTCATTCCGACAATGCCGCGATGTGTTGATCCCCAATGATCGTGCTTTCATTCCAACAATGCCGCAATGCGTTGATCCCCCTTAGTGATCGTGCTTTCGTTCCAACAATGCCGTCATACAAACGTTTTTCTTTGTGGCCGTTTTTTCATTCCGAAAATGCTGCAATCAGAATTACTTAAACGTTTGGAAATCGCATTCACTCAAGTTCTATTGTGTGAACGTTGAGGGTGTTTATTGTACAGGATATCTTCGAAGTCTGCTTTAGACTTAGGATAATATGAAGTACTAATGTTTATTTGTTGCACTTTCGTTTGTTTCATTATTTTATTAGTAAGATATCAAATAAGTTTAATGATCTTGAAAACAAAACTAACACTAAGAGAAGCGATGTATTAAACAAATATCTTATGAACGTGATTAACAAATTATAGGTTTGAAATAAAGGAAAAGAACTTTAAATACAAAAAAACATTACAACAATTTTTTAAAAATATAAAAAATCATTTTTGTTACGTCTCCCCCGGTGTGACGGGATTATTTTCGTATGGTATATACATATAGGCGACGCTAGTTTTTGTATTAGTCACCGGTAGAGGGCGCAACATCTGGCTCGGAGGGACTGGGCAAGTCTACGAATCTGATCCAGCGTGCGTGTTGCAATATCTTCAGACAGCGCGTGGACCATCGTTTCTGGCCGCTGATTGGGCCGCACTGCATTAACAAAAGGCCAAGGAAGGCCAGGATCGGAAACCGCAAGCAAGCATGCACAGCGCGCGTTGGCTGAATGGATGAAGGTCGGTATCAATTTACATTGGTCTTTTCTTCATGGCTCTACATGTGACCAGCCAATGTGGTTACGGTTTAATTCATCCTCTGAATAGTGTGATCGTTCTAAGGCAACACAATGGCCCCTTTGTGGCGATGTACCGACACCGGGTGACGCCTGGTGTTCTTCTGTGTGCGGTCAAACATGCGTCTTATGCGGCGGTGCGCCTTATCTGTTGGCGTTTGAATTTTTTGGGGGTGATTTTAGGGACCTGCGCCTTATCCGCCGCGCGCCTTATCCGCAGGAAATTACGGTAGTTTCATTGCGGTACCTGCTGCTAATTCTGATTCAAACCAGCCAGCTGACCCCGGCAAGCTCAGTGGTCGAGTGGTAAGACGTCTACATCAGTAAGTAGGAGGACGTGGGTTAGAGTCCCACCCAAGTGATTTATTTTTACAATCACTCAGGGGCAACACTGAGTATACAGTGTTTATAAAAAAAAAACCATATTGAACTGTCCACATAGCAGTGTGGCTCAATCAATCATCTTGACAAGTGTTTATTACACCTGAAATACCATTTCGTATTATTTTTATCTCTTGATGTTTGGGATGCAAAAGTGTAGTTAACTTTTTGAACGTTGACTCTGTGCACATCTTTACCTCAGTTTGTAAAACTGCATACATGTTTCAAATAAACCATTATTGAATGCAAATAATTTACCTGTACAGTGTAACCATACATTTCTCTTGAAATTCAAATTGCCAAACGTTAGTGCCAAAATAAGACACATCAAACATAGAAAAGCTGGTCCCAGAGTGCACAAATCCTATTCAATGGATTCAAACTTGAAGTCTTTTGATGCATCTGGTCTACACAGTGGGCCGGATGTAGCCCGTTCATTTGTGTTACCGGGTAATCCTACACGATAGCACTGCCCAGCTCACTTCACCGGTCTAAGCCAGTCAAAGTCACAAGTGGCAGTCACATGTCAGTGAGACTGGTATGAAGAGGTGACTAGGCCGCCCTCTGAGACCAGCACAAATCGGCACTTGGTTAATTTCGTCTTTCCGTTATTTATACAGGCGGAGACTATCTTGGCGATTGCAAGCTATGTGAAGACCCACCCTCGTGCATCTCAAGATGAAATGGCCAAAGAGATCGGCAAACAGATCCAGACATTTGCTGCCAAGGTAGAGGCCCTATGAGAGATCTTCTCTGGATGTGTTTGTATATAAAACAGTAGTACTGCATAGAGTCCTTCAATTTGTATTATTTGATGTCTTTTTTTATGTCCTTTGCCTGAGACCCTAGTCTATGACTTCGGTTGAATAAGGCTGCCAGATGTATGAATTGGTAAACAAGACTAGATTCTTTAGATCAGAACTTTTTTTAACGAACCAGGGCCTTTTCAACATACCTGGCTGCTACACCACACACCTCAGTAAAATCAGGCTTGGAAATAACTTAAATTCTAGAATAACTATAGACATGTACGATGTATATTATGCTTGGGCCTATCTTGATTTGTAAGAACTTAAATAATCAGTATTGCCTTCTGCATATTCTTGAAAACATTGACGTGGCTATTTGTAATATGCATGCATTGTTAGAATGTATGTTAACACATCCAGAATGGTTACATGAAGAAGCATTGATTCAGTGGCTTGTGAATGCATTAGTCAGTTGATGTGCTTATTATTGGTGAATTTGTGTGAAGCCAAGATCAATATGGAAATAAATGATAACCTCTTAAATCATTCAAAGCATTGCAACTACCTTTAGTTGGGCTGCTGCTCAAAAGTCCTATCAACAAGAACCTGATCGCAAGGTTTTGCTTTAAATTATTCAAATGAGCGTGCTAGTGATTGATTACATTATTACATATATCTCTTTCTTGTGATATTTTGTCCATAATATATAAATAATTTTATCTTTTGTTGACATTCACATAATATACATGTACATGTATGGCATGTTGTGTTAATTGTTGTGTGGGCTTTTTTGGGGGGGGGGGTGGAGTTTTTACTATTGTTTGTGTAAAAAAAAATCAAGTTGTATTTATTGTGAAAAAAGTAATCTCCCTTGCATCAAAGGGACTTAAACTTTTTAATGTTTTAGAACCAATAGTCTTGATGCAAGACATCCTTAGGAGTGCAAAAGTTACTGTACAGGCTGGCAGTAGCAGCCCGAAAAAGAGTTCCATAGCTGGACATCACTTGACACCCTGTGCACAAACCCTGTCAGACTGGTCTGAAAAATTCCAAGTGTTTTCTCAGTGTCTGCTAAATTTGACTTTTTAGCCAGGACATGTTATTGCTTTCTGACGGGTGATAGGTCAATGCAGGGGAAATTTAGTGATGTCCATGTATGGAATTCTCCCCGCAGCCAGTGCATGTCTTGAAATTACTGCACCAAGGACGTCTTGACTATTTGAGTTTAACATCCCAATATATATGATAATTAAAATTTTGTTAAACTGTCTTAAGCTTAAATCAACATGGGAGTTTATTTCCATAACGCGAAATACCCATTTGAAAAAAGGTGAAAATTTTGTAGAGTTTTGGAAACTTTAAAGAATAAACAAATTTCTACAGTAGAATGCCACTATAACTGTTTCATTTTGCCAACGCGCATGGCTACGGCGACACGCCTGCATTCCAGAAACCGGAGACTTTTTGGGGGCCTTAATAGTGCTTGTTTGTTATAGTGCTTGTGCATTGTAATAATAGAATTTACTATTTCAGGAGCCACAGGGGATGTTCATTATAGCCAAACGTTCATTATAGCGGTGTTCGTTACAGCGGCATTTCACTGTAGCAGCTGTTTCTAATCTTAATTTTTCACTTTATTATATTCTCAAATTGTGTGTAACTGTATAACAGCCAAGAGAGGGCGGCATTCTAAAAAGTTACAAATGGCATTTATCACGTTTTTGGAAATATGGTCTTCACATTTAATTGGTATTTTCAGTCATTCACATCAAATGTTAAACAGTGAAAGTTGACATCGAGGGACCATTACAAACATTTGTTTAAAACCAAAGACATTGCGTTCTTGCTTGGGACATACATGTAGTCAAAAAGCGGTTTACATGTATTCAACACTGTTTTCTCAAGCACTGTGTCTATAACTCCCATGAGTTTGAATAGTCAATGATTCAACTTTTAAGCTTACATGTAGACCTTAATGTAAAAAAAAAATAATTGTTGAGGTTATGGTTTGGTTTGTACATGTAATTGAGCGCACAGACGCCGCCACATTAAAAAAATGTAGTGTTATTTTGCAAGTTTATATTGCTGTAATTCTTTATATTTAATTGTTCAATATTCTAATATGTTATATGTATGAAACTGAACTAGTTTCTAGTATTGTATATTATTAATTATATATGCTGACAGAAAGCAAAATTAAAACAAATACAAGCAAATTTCAAATCAAGTGAACATTTTGTGTCGATACATATCCAGAATTGATTTGGTTTGTGTTTGAATTTTTCCGTAAAACTACACTGGCTTGTCAATCAGCTTTTATAATTTCATCAACAAAGTGGTATCCAGAATAACAAATTCTTTTGTTTTTATCGCTTGGTGATTTATTTCTCTCTAAATATACTGTACAAATCAAGAATAGTATCTTACAAGTGAATACAGGTAGAATCATAGAAAAAGTACAAAAGCAGAGTGCCTTTAAAAATAATAATTCAGTAATAAGTTGTAATTGCCTAACTAAAATTAACGATTGTCACAAAGACCATCTTCATCACGAACAGATACGAGGCAAAGTCAAGTCCAACACATAAAGAAATGAACACATTTACAACGGTAAATAATGCAGTGAATTTCAGTAACTTTGTCTTTGGTCTACATCTACATGTACATATGACGATAAGCATTTTATACATGCCACCTTTATGGCTTTTTTTTTCCTAAATGTAATTTCTTGAAAATGGAACCAATATGGCACACGTATATTAAAAACATGGAGAACAAAAAAAGTAAGGCTTTTTCTTTGTAATGGAAATAGCAAACAACATGTGGAAAGATAGAATACCTTTGAAAATTCACCTTAAGTACTTATAATCCCCCCCCCCCCAAAAAAGAGCAATTTGACAACTTAACAAAAAATATCCAGATCCAAATATAATGCTGTTTGGAATTCTACTTTTGCCCAAAATGGAAGCACTTGAATATAAAGATATAACGTCCCTGCACTTCTCTAGTTTCACCCGAAAAATATAAATTGCCATTTATGTAGCAATTTAAAAGTTATTCACTTTTGAATGAGACACCAAATAAAAGCAATCAGCCCATTTTTAATGATGACTTTACTAACTTCCAATTATTCAGCTCTCACAGCTGACGGTTGCCAGCTAACTATCAGAATTTGCAATCTAGGCAGTGAAAACCAGTCTACTTGCAACACAGATCTGTTTGTGGGCAAATGCAATTCAAAATAAAAGATGGTTCAGATTATAATTAATATAAAACAAACAAGTGAAGAGAAGTGCAAGGACTTTACATCTTTATGGATGGCATCATACATTTAATCACTTAAATTCCTTTTCGAATAAATATTTTTGTTTTAAATTGAAATTTAGTTACTGTTTGAGTTCTACTGTTGATCTTTTACAAAAAATATTGGTTTTAAAATTCTACTCTACAATTGCAATATTCATTAACGCAAACACTGAGATGTTGAGATGTCATGACGCCATTACCATGGTTACTGTTGTTTAGAAAAACCCTCTTCCTCCAATACATGCAGATAAAAAAATTAATAAATAAGTATATTATTTACACATTAAGTGGGTGTTTTTTTAAACAATAGCCGAGAATGTTTCACTAAAAAAAAAATGTGTCAAAAGTGCATTTAAGTACTTGGGTAGTTTCAGGGATTTTTATGGCAGGACAAATTCTAGGTGAAACTTATCCCTATCTTACTACATATTCATTACAGAGAAAATAGACCAGATTTGAAAAGAAAAGCATAGTTCATTTTTTCACAAGTGCTTTTGTGGACACAAACTGTGGCGTTTTGGGGGGGTTTGTGTCAATTTTTTTTTAGTCTCACGATTTGACTGTGGTGATATGTATGTGGCCTATTTTCGAGTAGTATAATAGGGGTGTAAATGCCGTCAAAATAATCCGTCCCCCCCCCCCCCCCGAAAAAATTTCCCCCCAAAAAAATAATCCGCGGCCAAAAATTTTGAGCAAATTTTTTTTTTTTCAAATTTCTAAAAACAGTCTGTCTTCCCATCTCAGCGCAATCACGTCATGAATTGGCATTTGCATTCACTATTTGCTCAAAGTGCGAACTAGCCTTAAAAGCTTGTCATTCAATGGAAAAATTCAGCAAATGGGGGTAACCTCCAATTAGTGCAAGCTGTGACAATAATGACCATCTCCTTTATTAAGTAACAATAATATTACCCCTGAAGTGTTGCCATGCTGTGGGAACAAAAATAGCTTAAACCGTGGGAAAAAATATCTCTGTAACTCTACAAATCTCTGAACAGATTTATATTCTCGCTGAATGAGCACATAACATTTCTAGAAAATATATTTACAAATAATTTGTTTCATTAATTTATTAACATAAAACAAGTACTTATGTAAAATGAAAACAAAATTAAATTGATAACTTTAAACAAACACTTTTACGAATGTGAATATTCCACAAATAAAACTACCCTCCGTTTCCAACAAAAATTATTCAGGAGTGAATACATATCATATTCCAATGTGTTAAGGTAGAAAAGAGCACTAAGCATGATATGTCATGCATCTCGATTAATATATTCTGATGTCGATGAGGAATGTTTCAAGAAAATAGATCTCGCGAATTTGATAAGGCAATGTAAGAAGTGTCCACCAATGAAACCCTACATTTCACCACATCACGAAACACTATAACAATATGGTGACCCTTCTGCCGAATATTGACAAAATGGTAAAATAAAAATTAAAATGACAAAGCTGATAATATATGACAACCAACTGGTTCTTCGCAGAACCACACAACTCAAAAGAGACACTATTCACATGGTTTTACCGCAAACCTTCCATTCTTTATATGACACAACCATATCGTCGGTTGCACCATGAACCGACGTATCGCATTTTTTTGTGTTTCGAGAAAAAACAATTTAAAGTTGGTCATTATTTTGTAGGCTCATTCCATATACTCCCTGTGTAAGAATTCAAACTGTTTCGTTTTTGCTATTAACATATACTGTAGGTTGAACTTTATTGCATGCAATCCGTGTGCATCTGAGTTGCTTAGTTTTTGAGAAATTCAGTTCTAAAGTTATTCGTCACTTCGTGAAACAGATTTTTATCATGTTTATCGTATGTCATACAACGCGCGTAATAGTGGCCGTGTGCCAGATACGGAGATAACTCAGTTCGTGAAACGCTAAATTCCAATTTTTCATGTCAACGCTCCTTTGTGATGTCATAGCACTATGGGAATTAGCGTGTAAAGTGGCGTATCAGGATAAGCCACTTCGTGGTGCACCATTTTTCATTTTTTAGAGATACGCCACACAGTCTAATTAGCGTTCTTAGTTAATTAGAACTCCGATCGGAATAAAACTTTCTGAGAATGAGCACTTTGATGAAATAATAACGTTAATGACAAAAACTCAATTTGGCAAAAAATCGAGAAACGCCGGTTCGTGGTGCGACCGACGATATAAGCAAATGCTTGAACATTCAAAGTCTGTGAGGTCCATGAGGATTGTTGGAGTAGGGAGGATCTAGCAGTGGAGGTAGGTGGATAGATAGTTCCAGCTGAAGTCAGAGTTTTTGGAATTAGTTTTTAAGTTTAGCTTCAGCAAGTATAAACAAAACTTATAAGACTGTCATTGAACCCAAATACTCTACACTGATATGTATCGAACATGGCAAATGTCAAAAGCATCATGCAGTGAAAATGTGTGTTCTTGTTAGATAGCTGGCATGAGAGACTTTTAACATGTTTAAGGTTTAAATTTAGAAAAGAAAACACTTAATAACGAAATAACTTTCAAGTATGAACATTTTGAAGTGCAATTATTCACAGGGTTCAATAATGTTTTTGAGTAGTCTAATGCTTGGACATCGAGTTCAGCATTTGTAAGTTGCATTAACATGTAAATAGAACATGCATTTTTTTAAAAGTGAGTGTCTTAGTATCAAACATTGACTAGTCGCAGACCCCAGTGTTTTAGTCATCAATTTTCCATTTCCATCAATTTTCCATAAATGGTAATGCTTTGGTATCTTTCACGGAACCTCTTTACCACTCTGGACCCGGTAAGCCCAGTCAGGAAACAAAATAAACACAAAAAAATACGGCATTACCCGCCTCGTAGTTCCTAGACAATGTGCCCAGCAGTACTGGAGTCCCATAAAATCTCACCAGTTCTCATCTCACTTGCACACTCAATAGATACACGTATCCTACAGAGTGTTTATTCTTTCTTTTCACTTAATCCATTGGTATGACGTCACACTATTGTTAAAAGTGTGGATTCGGATCTAGGAATCTCTTACACTGGTCACAAAGTGTGGATTCGGAACTGGGAATCTTTAGTAAAGTGTGGATTCGGAATTATGAATCCACACTTTGAACACATCGGACAATTGTTCTCCATAATAAGCATGAATAGGACCATCTGCGTGAAAATTACCAATGCATCTTCACTGTCAGATTCTCCGCCGTCACTGCAAAATCTACTTTTAGTCAGAAAGAAATCGTCGTCTGAACTATCCATTTTGACGTAAGGAGCCTATACACACAAAATGACTTGGTTGTACGGATGTGTGGCGATGCACATGCTAAACACGCCAGGAAAAAAATGTTGCAACCTGACGCCACTTCCGCGCTTGTGTACAAAGTCTATGGAGAGTCATTTCAAGCATTTCCTAACAAAATTGGAAACATTTCTCAGTCCCAGATTCATGTCTTATCATCATTTTTGCAACAAATGACCTTCATTGAGATGATATATGAAGAAAAAGTGCCGTCAGGTTGCAACATTCTTTCCAATACTTCTGTTGACGCAATGGTTTAAGTCGAAGAATACACTCGCAAGTGTGGATTCTTAATTTACGAATTAACTTGTCGCTTCGCGCCTCGTGAATTCTTAAATTACGAATCCACACTTTCTCGTGCATTCTCCTTAACTTAAACAGGCTCTTCTCAATATAATACCTAAACTTGTACTCATACTGCGTCTGTTCTGTCACGTCTTCAGCAGACAAGCGAGTTGATGGAATTTCAGACTGCGATAAGACAGAATCTCAGTGATGTTTGAGGCCCTTGGAGGAGATTTCCCACCGCTGTGTCCTCCTCGATGGGTCGCACGTTGTCATAAAAAGCTCTTTACTAGTTGCCCTGTGATCTAGACACAAATTTTGGTCTGTGATATAAACTGCTTGAGTATCCTGACAGAATAGGAAAAAAGTAGAAAGGAGAGGAAAAAAGAGATAAAATACATACATGTAAGCATTTATTAATACAATCCTTATTGGGCTTTCAAAAATTAGCACGCATGCTAAAAAATCCCAATCTATATTCAATTATATAATTGCACTGACCAGATTTGTTTTTAATAACAGATCATATAATCAGGTTTTGGGCAATTTTCACATAGATAAAAACACTTCAGACAGCTGTATCAAAGATACATGTTAATTGCCTGCTTCTTGTGACTGACTTGTGACTGACTTGTGTTCAACTTGTGACTAACTTATGATCAACTTGCGACTGACTTGCGATCAAGTTGTGACTGACTTGTGATAAGCTTGTGACTGACTTGTGATAACCTTGTTACTGACTTGTGATCAACTTGTGACTGACTTGTGATCAAGTTGTGACTGACTTGTGTTCAACCTGTGACGGACTTGTGATCAACTTGTGATCAAGTTGTGACTGACTTGTGTTCAACCTGTGACGGACTTGTGACGGACTTGTGATCAACTTGTGATCAACTTGTGATCAAGTTGTGACTGACTTGTGTTCAACCTGTGACGGACTTGTGACTGACTTGTGATCAACTTGTGACTGACTTGTGTTCAACTTGTGACTGACTTGTGATCAACACGTGACTGACTTGTGACTGACTTGTGATCAACTTGTGACTGACTTGTGTTCAACTTGTGACTGACTTGTGATCAACACGTGACTGACTTGTGACTGACTTGTGATCAACTTGTGACTGACTTGTGATCAACTCGTGACTGACTTGTGATTGATATAATTACAAAGAATGGAAAGCATTACGTACTGTATTATAAGCCCAATTGTACTTGGTTGTATCGCACCGTCGTAACCTGATATCTGAGGAGGCTTTGTAGGCACACTGGTCGTGAATACGGAACTGTCCATCTTCCGTCATTCTAAAGAGTTGGTTCCCACCGGCTCCATGGCAGTACGACATGCCTATCTTGCCACCATCCTTCTGGCCCATGGAGTCTACGCATAGACGGGCACTAGCTGTTTTAACCTGCATAGAACAAGTTTTTGAGGGGGAGTTTTCAAACAAATCACATGAGAGGCAGCCATAACTTGGTTTCTTGCTTGCTGGCGACAATACTTGTTGATAACTTGACGAGTGGCCATAAGCCATCTTGCCATGACCTTGAAATACAACATGGACACAGTTCAAAGGCAAAAGTGGCATTGAATAACTTAGTAGAAGCAAAATTGAATATATGTGAGACTGTAAAACAAATCAAAGCTGAAAATAATGCTTCTGTTTTAGCCTCTGAAGAAGAACTTGCTAAGTTCGCAACGTCAGGCCACATTAATTTTAAGATTCTGAAAATAATGCGACGACTTGTATCGGACGATTTTGTTTTTCCCCCTCAAGCTCATTGGTCAAGTGGTTGAGACATCTGCACTAGAAAGCAAGAGGTCATGGTTTCGAGTCCCACCCAAGCAAGTGTGTGATGTTTTTCTCGCAAGCTCTCAAAAGCACTGTGTATACAGGGATGTAAGTCTCTACGACATTTTGCAGAAAATGTGAGCGATACAAAATAGTGTATGGGTCGATCTATAAATTCAGGTCTCCAAAGTGTAAAAGTTTTCCTGTCCCTGTTACCTTGATTCTTTGTAATTTTCCCTTCAATTATCATTAAGAATGACGTCAAATAAGTTGGAGAACGACTGCATTAAGGAGTACATGTGAATTATACAATCCTAGATGTCAGATGTAACTGGGACAGGAAAAAAAGTGGACCCCAAATTTATAGAATGACCCTCAGTGAAAAGTGCACTTCTTTGAGCAATTAAATTTTCCATATTTTTCCAGACAACTGAGGCCACTGGTGCTGTGGTGTCATTTCAGGAAGACATTGTTCAGTTGAGGGGTTTTCTGTGCACCCAAAATTTGCTCATTAACAACATTTGTGAGAAGGGGTTGCTCATTGGCTTACTACCTTGTACACAACAACAAATCACCAAAGAAAAGAAGATTTATGACGGCAAAATATTCAAAATTCTAGCAACTTTTTGTGCTGAAATAGCTGCAACATTGAGGTTCCTGCCTGGAATGACATCACAGTTTTGCTCATGAATATGGAAATTCGCATCAGCATAAAAATCAAAAAGGCACCAAAATACACTTGAAAATGGCAAAATGAAAATTGAAAATAAGGTTAAATGGACACAAAGGTGAATGTTCAAGGAGAGAATTTAAAAAAATGACATTGTATGAGCCCTTTGAGGTCCCACAAGGACCAACCTACCTCTCCCCAATGCGTATTAGCGGACGGCAGGGGATACTTGTCCACGATGTCCGGTGCGATCTCAGACATATACCAGGAGAAGGACCGGCATTTCATCTTACGCCGGAACGCCAGCTGCTTCTCCAGATCACCCGCCGAGACCAACATGGCTTCTGGCTTACTGCGGTAGAAATACTCCTTGTAGTCGTCAAACCAGACTTCTACGACTCGCTTCAGATTCTGGATGGAGAGGCATCAAGTCAGAAAATACAGTAGAATGCAATTTTGGAGGGGGAAAACGTATATTATTTCAGAAATCCACAGAGAATGTTATTGAAGTTTGTTGTAATTTTGCAGAGGTTGTCTTTCTACTGTAAAGTAATTGCTGGAAATTTATTATGCACTGTTTCAGTTCTATCAAATTAATTCAGTGCTCGGAGAGTTAACCGCTACCTGATGCCCATAGTACCCAGCCTACAAGATGTTGTTCCGTAGAATACGCAACGTAGGACCGCAGGATCATTTGCAGGTTCTTCAATTATTATTATTTTTTTTGGAAGCAAACAATATTGTGCATAACAACTACCATGCTGGGTGGCTACTATACATTATGAGAAAACAGAGAAAAGATACGCACAATTCCTTGAGTCTCGTAACTGGATTCCGTTGCTAATGCATGTATTAGAGTTTTTTAGAGACTTTTTAAAACCACCATCAATTATTGTTTTCTTCCAAATGATACCATTTGAGGCTGAATAAGTTCTCAGGGTATTTGGCACTATCCATTTCCTAGTTATTGCCAATGTTCCACGTGCCTTTAAATTAATGACGTCGATAGTGTAACATTTATCCCAAATTCAATTTGGCTTTGGAACTTTGTGTGTGATGCAAACACAATGAGATTTTCAACAAATCTAAAAAAAAAATATAAATCAAAACTTTCCTCAGCAATATTTTGTTTCCAATCCGTTTGTTTTTTACTCTCAACCCACGTCTTCCCGAAGTTAATAATTACATTAGACGATCTGGGAGGACAGTTTTCTGGCATAGGATATTATATATCGATAGGAAAATCCGACAAATCAGGAATAAGTTTGTGAGCTTTTTAGACACTTTAAAAAGAAGATCATGTTTTAAAGTACAGCGTGTCTCAAACAATGTAGCAGTCAAACAACATTTTTCTGAGGAAACTAACTTTTGGGGGGGGGGGGGGTAAAAAATTACCATGAGATGATACAGTGTTTCATTACCCTTGACAGGATTTTTGTTGTGTGTGATTTGGACCTTTTGTTTAAAAGTTACGGCAAAGCTTGTAAAGACTGTCAAAATCTGGTATCTAACGGCATCTAACAAAAAGCATTCACACACCTTCTTGGTATGTGAATGCCTTTCATTAGATACCAGATAATCTGAAAAGTGGCCCAACTTGGAATTCAAGTCCTTTCATTAATTAGCTGTATCTCTGGACTGGGGTGTCCAAATGAGACGGGATAAAGACCATTGTGCAGAGTATTTACTACACCTTCAGACTCTACAGATAAGTTTTGCAAAAAGAGAGTGCTGGTATTTTAATATTTATGAATTGACAGCTAAAATTTTATTGACACACGCTGTATAGAAAGAAAATGGCTTTAAATGAAACCCGAGCTACATGTGCACAGACAGGCAGAGAAATGTGTCGACTATTGACTAGTGCAGAAATAACCACCATGGGAAGCCATGTGATATTGACGTTAATTAAATCAGACAAGATGGGGATGGTATTGAATGTCAATGAAAGGTCTGGTACCTGTACCCGTGTAGAGTCTGGATGAATACCAATAGCCCATGTGTATGAATTGGTCAGGATGCTCAGTGGGGGTGTATAATGTGCATGAATGTTGAAAATATTGACTGGCAATGAGGGCACTAATGAAGAGCTACATGTATGCACCCAAAGGGATTTCAAGTGACCACAAAGAGGAATAAGGTCCTCTTGTGGTCACTTGGAAATTGTCTTGATCAGCATCAAGATGAAATATAGAAAGCTGAAATATAGAAAGCTGCCATTTTTCACTGTACTCAAGAGATGGACCTAATGCCATAACATTAATTTAGTATGTGGGCAATTCCACGCAAAAGTGGACAAGGCTGAACAGTGAAAACTTTATGAAATCTTCCAAAATACAAGCCAGATCACAACCTCCGATGCGGTATAAAATAAAAGGGGCAACAAGACCTTTCATATGAGTGATGTGGTAGTAAGATGGAATATGGTTAACTGTATATTGTTTTGTAGAAAGAAAAAAAACAGTTTTGAGAGTTAAATTAAGGATTTTAGATAATGTTGGCACCTTGTTATTTACATGGCACGCACAAGTTTTATTGTGAGTGTTTGTTTTTAAGGCAGAGAGAAAGGTTCATGTTTTATGAGAAAAGAGTTTCATTATGTTGCAGTTCATCAAACTCATACTTTATGCTGTGTTAGAAACCATGAAGAGGAAGTAACGTGAGTGACGTAATGCGAGTGACGGTAATCTAATGTTCCTTGCATCTAAATACACACTGATTTGATTCAAAACAGGTTTTTATATCTAGCTACGTGGGTTGAATAAAAGGTACATGTATAACAATGCATAGAGCTATATTAAATTACTAGAGCGCTAACTCGCCATTCTGCGCGCGGAGACGCTTTGAAGCCGTCCTGGGCGCAGACATTTTGAATTCATGTGCGTATTTGTAGAACACAATGAAATTAGATGGATTGAATTTTGAAAGTGTACTCTACATGCAACGCGCAAGTAGAACACATGCAAACAACTTAAGTGCGTCATTGACGATTCAAAAAACGTGACAGCAAAAAGCATCTGCAGCGAATACGCGCACGGGTTGCACTGTTTGCGTAGAGCAAAATGAAACTCTCATTTGCTGATCGTGCGTTTCGGTTTTGGGCGTATTGGCTTCGATAACGCACCGGTATGGAATACAAACGCAAATATGCAAATAGCCATACAAAAGCCGTACAAAATTTCTAGGTCTCCATAGGTTTGTGCACAAACATGGATGGGCCCAGCAGGCATTACTTTGTACACAAAGTTAGCGCTCTAGTAATTTAATATAGCTCTATGTAACAATGTTACTTCTGCATTGCAGACTACAGTTTGAGGAGACTTTAACTACGAAATTGCACAAAAATTTTCCTTTTTTTTGTCATGTGAGTGATGACCAACAAAAACTCATGTGGGGCCGGTTGAATGATTCTTTCCGTTTTTGAGTACACCCGACCCCAAGGTTGTTGTATGGCTGTTTGATTCAGCTTGATCAAATACTTATGAAGCAGTGAGAGGTCAAAGTAGCGTCATGACATATAAATGTAATGTGAGGGATGGTGAAGGCGCACCTATTGTATAGATGTACACACCGCAGCTCTATGGTATGTAACAATTCTTGCATGTTCTACCACTAATTAGACACAATTCAGTTAAAGGTACAGTCCATCATTTGTAACTTGTGCATTTTGTTCGTTTGAAGCAACAAACGAGGTCCAAATCTTGAGAAGGGTGATAAACAACTAACCTGACAAAGTTCAGCTCAGCTTCAGCTGTATATTTCGAGAAAAAAAAAACATTCTAGGATCTCTATTTCAAATAAAAAATTACTCAATCATGTTTTGAATTGGGCCTGAATTAAGCGTCCGAGACAGCGTGGGTGTAGCTATGCGATGTCGCGCACTAAACCGACGAATTATAGTAACCGCGTTTCAACACTTGCGCTTACTTCGCCGAATAAAAAAACAAACTTCTAACGGAAATTGCATTCTTTCGTAGATTTCTTCAAAATGACAGCATGCCAGAAAGAATATCTTCACAGGGAATTTAGTCCCCTTACTATCTTTCACCCAAGAATGTTTTCCAACAACAATTACGTCAGTTTCTTTTTGGATAGCTGCAAATGATGGACTGTAGCTTTTTAAGTCAATGACATTTAGCCTACAAGACCTACACATCAGCTTACTACACTACACCACACCACCACCATTTCATTCACTATAAGCTACATGTGTGTAAAAATTAGCTCTGTGAAAAGTATTGGTTTTAGGATGAAAACAGAGTGAATGGTGTGTTACGACGAAAGATAGAGCTCCATGTATCCACCACAATACATGTAGATGTCTTACCCTCTCGCTTATCATCATCATGCTACCGTTTGGTGCCGAGTACGGTACCTTACCGTGAATTCTGTACACGTGACCAACGCGCGAGCAGGGCACCCACAAAAGTGAGCCCCCGCACATCCACAACTGTAGCAACACAGAGCAAAATAAAAACAAATCTGATTAAAGATTTTTTGGGGGGAGGTTTCATGCTTCATCTTACCCTTTCGCTTAACATCATCATGCTCCCATTAGGAGAGGAGTATGGTACCCTGCCAAGGATTCTATAGACATGGCCCACCCTGGAGCAAGGGACCCAGATGAGAGAACCACCACACATCCATATCTGGAGGACAGGAATCACACTGACAAGATGAAGGTATGGGGGGAACGACACAATATCAAAGGAACAAACTATGTGACGTATGACCTTTTGCAACTTGTTTTTCACTAACCTGGAGTGCTTACACTTACGCAAACGCTGCGAACAATGCTGACGTTTGCCATGGATGGCAACGTGTGCGCAGTGGGACCGACTTGTTTGCCACCAACTTTGCTGAACGTTAGCAATAAAGGCTAACTGTTTTCCCGAGTCATTCACTATGTTTTCCAAGATGGCCGACTCACACATCAAAAATATATTAGAAATTCATATAATGACTGGCGAAATTTCACTTCAAGTCGCAATTAGTTAACAAAGATTTGATTAGCTGCTAGCTACACAATGACACTTATAGTACTGGACACTGCCATTTTTTGCTGCATAGTCATGATAGTATACAAATATTGACTGCTTCAAGTGGTGTAGTAAAACTAGCCTCCCTTGGTGATCCATGAAGTATTTTATTTGGCCCGAGGTGAAGCCGAGGGAAAATAGAATGCTCCATGGATCACCGAGGGAGGCTAGTTTTACTACACCAAGAGATAAAGCAGTCAATATTTGTTTTATAACACCTCTCCCACAGATTCTGCTTGATTTTAAGCGATTACTGATTAATTAAATATAAATTAATACAATATAACGTCGTGTGCCCGGCAGAAGGTTTTACAATTACCCCGGTATAACTTTGGGTAGCTAATTACGAGGAAGTTCACACAAAAACTATGACTGAAGTGGAGCTCAGTAAAAATGACTTCTGTTTGACAGCACCCACTGTACAAGTACAGTACCTTGAAGGAGAGTTCGAAGTTTTCACCTCCCCAGATCTCCAGTCCATCATCGTAGGTTCCGAGCTCAAAGAAAAACTCCCGTCCCATCGCAAACAGGCCTCCCGCCATTGCAGGGGACCTTACAAATCAAGAAAAAGATATGTACAAAATTTGACGACTTGTTGAGCATTTATTTATTTATTTATTTCTTATTTTAACTGGGTAGCCAATTCAGTGGAATCCCCTGGTCTCCCATGGGGCCCAGTAAAGAGAAGACAATGTGAAGACATTACAGTTTTAGATGTGGGAGGAAAAGCCCAGAAGAGTATTCTGAGGAAAACCCACGGAATCAGGCAGGGACTGAAAACCCAATCCACATATTGGCCCAGGCGGGAATCGAACCCGGGTCACAGTGGTGGAAGGCGAGGAAAGTACCGCTACGCCAACCTGACTCCCCAAGGATTATCAAGTACAAACAAAAAAGTTGTAAATACGGTACCACTGATTTATATGCCTCAATTTCGTGTCTAAGATTTACCTGTAGGGCTCTGTCTCATACTTTCTCCGTTTTCGCTCAAACTCCGGGAGGGGGAAGTGTTTCCAGTACAGGCTCCAGTCAAACCCGCCTCTGTCCTGATCCCCAGTGCCTTGTGGGTACACCTTGTAGTTCTGATTGTCAATCACGTCAATGACAGGGCACACTGCTGTTGTCCTGTAAAACAAATGGGGGGAAAAGACCTTTAAATGACCATGCTGTGTCCACTGAACATGCTGAAACTACCAATATTTTATCAAAGCAGCACTTTCTCACAGCTGTTTTATCATCTACTGGGTTTTGGATTTCGATCTGCTGATGAACTGGAAACCTTGGATATCTCGTAGTAAGAGTTAGCGTAGTTATAGCCCAGGTTGGACTCCTCCGTTGTGTACACGCAACGGAGTCCAGGGTGTGAACTTCTGCTGCTACAGCAAAAAAAATTACGATTTGTTTTTTTCATATTGTTATCTGATGGAGGAAGCTGAAATTTCGATTGCATATTCATTGTGTCCAGAATAAAGATGCTCGGTTTAGAAAAAGTAAATATATCTGTGGGCAATGTGTTAACAGAAAATAAATTGCAGATCCACGCTTTCGTTGTAAACATTTTCAGTACTAACTTCCCGTGTGAAAACTTACATATGTACGCGTATTGTGCAACACAGTTGCTACATGTGGGGTGTGCATGCCCACGTGTAAGTCTTCACACAGAAAGTTCGTACTGAAAATGTTTACGAAGAAAGCGTGGATCTGCAATTTATTTTCTGTATTACAATGTAAACACGTTGCCCATGGACACACGAAATATTTCCTTTTTCTAAACCGAGCATCTTTGTAATTCTGGAAACAATGCATGTAAAGGAATTTTCAGCTACCTCCATCAGGTAAAAATATGAAGAAAAAAAATTGTTGTATTTTTTTTCGCTATGGCACCAAATTTCATACATGTACCCTGGACGTCAGTGGTAATGTAATTAATACTTAGTCAAACCTGGGCTAGGGTAGTTAAAACATTTGTTGCAGCAAATTCATCATTATTTTGTTTCTACGTAGCAGTCAGCGCTGCTACAAGTAATCATTTTTGTCTGAAGTAGAACGGTATTTCTTTTTTATTATGGTACACTAAAGCAATTTTCTTTATGTTGCACATGTACATGTACATGTATGAATAAATAAAGAATTAGAGAGTATACATGTAATGACATCATCATCATCTGCGAAATAGTAATTACTGCAGCCCGGCAACACTCATCATTCATTGCTCAAGGTTATAATTGGCTCAAACAAAAGGGCCGTAAAACCTTTCATCATCAAATACCACTTACAACTCATTATCAATAATTGAACCCATTAGTCCCTGCACAGCCATAAAGCACCCCGCCTGTTCCTCCTTATACAATGTACTGCCCTAAACCACTCAACCCTTGATGATTTTATGTATTCATTAAGGAGTAAATGCAGTGTAGTACAATGTAATACAAAAGCTGAAGGGTTAATAATGATGCAATTTCTACCTTTCTTCAATTTGTGCATGAACCGAGTGCGCAAGTGCAAAAAACCAACTACCTGAATCGTTGCACCACCTTTTTCAATTTAATAGATCCATAGATGATTATAATACTAGGTCCTCATCCAAATTGCATATACCTCAAGTCAGAACAACTCTTTCTCAACACACCATTTCTTTCTCTGGACCAAAAAACTGGAATTACCTTGCACCATCTATAACTAATTGCCCTTCAAGTAATACATTCAAATATAAACTAAACACATTCCTACTCAGAGTGCCTGATTCATTATAACGTTAAGTTGATTTAGCCGTTATTGAAATATTGTTTAGTGTTGTGTCTACTTTGTTTAACTGTTACATATTTAACATTTGTTATTATTTCTAAATTCTATAATTAGTGTTGTTTGTCTTGTTTTGTGAATTGTATTGTTGGGCACACCCACCACCAGCTTCGGCTCCACAGAATATAGGCTACATACATGTATACCCGAAAAAATGACGGAAATGTCTTCGAGCATTCCACAACCTTTTTAAATGTACATTAAATTAACAGCAATAAGACTTCCTACATGTACAAAAATGTACATGCAGCTTGTCGTCGTCTCTCTTTTTCTTCTTCTTTTTTCACTTTTTTTTTTTTTTTTGCTTTTCTAGGGGGAGCCTTCTTGCCCCTCCCCCTCCTGACGACACCCATGGTAATACTACTGACCTATTGCCGTTTGTGAGTTGGCCACGCCCCTTAGACAACCCAATGGAATTTTTGTACACTAAGTTTTGTTGGTCTACGATGATGCACGATCCGCGTCAATTGTATATCATATAATTGGACAATATATCACAAGCTGTGTTGGCCCATTGTGTAGGCCAAATGCATGAAACGACCCCCAGTGAATAGTCATTCTGAATCAATTGAATACCATTTGGGACCGGCTCTGGGACCGGCTTTACTAGACTTGCCCTGTCTTGTTTAATCTTTTACACGACAGACATATGTAATCTATACATGGAGATCTAACCATTTATATGTGTTTGGTACCGGTATACTGCCATCATCAAAACCTCAACTCATCAAAACACGCCTCATATACAGAGTGAGTCAAAAAAAGCGGAACCCAAACCCCAAAAATTATATTCCATATTTAAAAAAATATGTAGCACCAAAAATAATAATGGCTGGAAAGCCAATTTCATAAGCTACTTTTGGATGAAACAATTACTGAAATTGGTCAATCCGTTCAAAAATATTTAAACACAATGACCCTAAAACCTGTCTCGTCCAAAAAAAAGCGATTTCAACAATCGTCGTCACAATTGTCTTCAATCATCACCAGCGATGAAATCTTAGTTTAAACGTTATCAATATGCAACAAAGTCCTTTTGAAGGCCCGTCTTTTAAAAAAAGTTGCCTAACCAGGGTTGTTAATTAAATTATTGTGTGCTACAGTTAGTGACAGTTGTTGAAACAAGTATTCTGTGTCATTTTCTTTGTTGTTCCAAACAGTCAAAACACCCAATAAATTGCTTTTTTGGACGAGGCAGGTTTTAGGGTCATTGCGTTTAAATGGTGATATTCTTTGAACTGATTATACAATTTCAGTAATGTTTTGATCTAAAAGTAGCTTTTGAAATTGGCTTTCCAGTCATTATTATTGTTGGTGCTATACATTTTTTTTTTAAATGAAATATATTTTGGGGGTTTGGGTTCCACTTTTTTTGACTCACCCTGTACATGTAGTACGTATGCTGATTGATCCATATTCTCCCTTACCGGTATCTAATTTGTTCACGGTACACAGGGTCTTCACTTTCCAGCGGCAAACCCATGCATTGTCAATACCAATAACCACGAGCGCAATCAGCAGTTCACCTCAGACAGCTTCACAGACCGACACCCTCGATCACTTGCCAGGAGAGCTCCGTGGCAAATGTTAAATGGCGCAGAACACAGAAATAATAAATAACCCCGGGCCGAGACGATTATTTTCCTTTTGCAGTCAGGCGGTATTGCAATGTACCTGCCTGGCTCCTAGATATTAAAGAATTCCCTGAGTATTTAGGTAAGCATACAAGATGTGCCCCTAGATATTTGTCTTGGATGTTTTGATCTGGGCTGTGCATGTACGACAAAAAAGTCACCGGTTTCACGAAGGGACGGGCATGTCAATTTGAAAGAGAAACATGTTTGAGATCATCGCAAGAGTGCAAAATGTACCATAATGCGTAGATGCATATGATTCTCCCTGCCCCCACATGTAGACCCCCACATGATTCTTAGAGAGCTTAGTTTTCTAGTGAGCCCAATAATAATAATTGAAACTGTGGTTAATTTGATAAAAGTACCAGCAAAGATGCGCCTCTCTTCTTGAAAGGAAAAATTCCAGTTGACCATCTTTTGTGTTTTGCCATAGGAAAGAGGCGTGCATGTTTACGCTCACGTCTGAAAATGTATAAAATGCCCCCGTCTAGTGATGAAAATGGAAATCTCACATTCTACATGTACTTCCACGCCTTTTTTTGTTATTTTGTGCACAGCATGTTAGCATCTCTTCGTGAAAAGGCAAAATGCAATTACGGAGATGTCGGCTCCTTACAACAGTAACGTTATTAAGACATAACATGTACGTGTACGCCAGTTTTGCATCAGAAAGCAAGTCAGAATTGTTGAAGTGCGATGTTTTCAAGCCAAAAACCTACAAAAATCTAAATAGAAAAAAATTACACTTTTGACATGCCCGTCCTTCAAGAGGGTGACGAAGAGTGCAATTCTGGTGTATTCCAGTGTTATCCCGACACTTACTTACTCACACGTACAATGTACATGTATGATAGGGAAATGAGGACTAACAGAAAACTGAAGGCTTGCATAGTAGTCAGATTGTACCTTTTTTACAATTTTTAAATTAGTAGAGAAAGAGAATACTTTGAAGAAAAAAAAACTATTCTTAACTTATTCCCCTGAAGTTGTAGTTCTAACTAATTACACTTAAAAGGGAATATACATCATTTGGTTTTGCTGTAATTTTCAGAAATGGATGGAATTGGGGGGTTGGAAATATATAGCAAATATAGTCATGATAGTTACACTGACTTTTTAGAGGTTTTGGGTTCGAAAATGCTATAAAAACCAAGAAAAACAATCATTTTCCTGTAGTCTGGTTCCCTGACTCCATTTAAGAAGAAACAGAGCAGTTTACATACATTGGGGAATTGTAAGGTCAGGGAACCAGTCTAGCTGGCTAATACCCCTTCATAGGTGTGTAATCGATTGCAAACAAGTGCGATGGTCAATTGGGGCCAGTATTTGAAAAAAAGCCAGTGTTTTCCAACGCTGGTCGGCCGACCAGCATTGGAAATTGATACAAAAATACCACTTTTCTTGAAAATGACAGTATACCAGGTGCCATGATTTTACAGGATGCTTTACACTGTCATTCACTAACAGTCCAGCAAGGTATTTCAAAATGATTTGGTAGTTTTATTTTTTGATGTTTGCAAATGTTGTATTTTCCCTTTAACTGTCTTCCAAAATGCTTATAAGCACTTGTGAGTCAATTCTGTAAAAGAAGTGCACCGGTAAACCAAGCACATAAACATAAACCCTATCAATCCAACAACAAATATTAGTTTCAATTTAACCCTGGAAATAGCTCCATGATCTAGCATTACCTTATTCGAAAGATTTCTAATCCATCCCACCAAGTGACAATTGATATGTCAAGCTACTTTAAACTGCTTGATCATACCCCTCACCTAATCACACAATCAACAGGGTTCGAAATTAGCGGTAGCCCGCTAGCCAAATGCTAGTCAAAGCAGCGGCGGGCTAGTCAATTATTCCTTAAGTAGCCCAGCTGGCGAGTCAAAAAAATTATTGAGATACGGCAAAGATGAGCGGACAGGAAGAAATAAATCATGAAATTCAGAAAGAAAACCTCATCAATTTGTGTCTAACTTTATCAACTGTTTTGAAATGTTAAATCATTAGATCTGTTTAATAAAAACACTAGCAAAATTGCCTCATAATTGAGCCTGAAAATACGTCATTTTGTATTTGAGCTAAAAAAAAATGCGGGCTAGTGAAAATGCCTGTGGGCTAGTTAAGGGTCTGTTTCAGTAGCCCAGCGGGCTAGTGAACAAAAAAGTTAAGGTCGAACCCTGCAATCAACCGTTTATCTTACACATCATCGGGGCTGTGGTACCCATTTCTAGATCCATACCAGCTACGTACATGTAGCTGAGCCCAACAAGTGTGGTGGTCAAGTGTTTAAGAATCTGCACAAGTACCCAGTACTAACTATCTACATGTAGGATAGAATTTCACGTCAGGGAGATGAATTGCGAGAAAAAACTACAAAGCTTACTCGGGTTGGACTCGAACCCACACCCTCCTGCTTACTAGTGCAGACGTCACAAGTACATAATGTAATGTACAAAGGAAGTTGTTGCCTCTGATCCAACCCAAGCGGCCTTGAATAGACCATTATCATGCTGCGGCCATCGTGACATTTTCCCATTCAAATCAACGTAACCAAAGCGAGGCTGGAAGGAAAAATAGTCTGGTTCCTTTTTGCACAAAAAACATTATCATTCAGTACTATTATTGGATACAGGGAACACGACTAAAATGGTGGCAGCATGATAAAAGTCTATTACAGGGCTTATAAAATAGAACTCATGAAGGGCAAAGCAAACTTAAACATAGATTCCCCCACCCCCCCCCCCAGCCAAAAAGAAAACAAATTAAAATCCACCATGCAAGTACTGTAAACAAGAGATGACATGGATTTTATCATCCCAATTCCATTCAACACCTTTCTCCTCCTTTCACCAGCCACCTATCCTCTCCCCCCCCCCCCCCCCTTACTGATCCTAATTCCTCCTCACCTATTGACAGCGATAGGTGCGAGCAGCGGCGGCAGCCAATTAATGCCAACCTCACAGTGTGCGTCCAACCACAGCAGAACGTCCCCTGTGGCCGCCTTAGCTCCGATGATGCGCGTCCTGATCAGACCTTCCCGACGCTTGTTGTGGATGACTTTGACTTTACCCTTGAACTGCGGAGACGTCGCATAGTCATCCAGTTTCCTTTTTAAATGCTCTGAATATTAAAAAAAAAGATGAATTCCCAAATGTTGGATGTTTAAAATGGGTTGCTAGGTGATGATGTTAAGGATTTGTCATGGATATGGGAGCTGTGGTGTATTGAGTCAGCAAAGAACTCAATTATTCAATATATTTTGTCTGTGCTCTTCAACAAATTGGAATTTTTTTCAGATGATTTTCAAAATACAAGATTTTTTTTTCCTCACTAACTTTCAATTTGTATGTTCTATTTCAACGGAAAATACTACTTTTTTCTATTTTTATATTTTAACCTTCTGAAAATATAGTCCGCTTTAATTCAAAATCTGGAAAGTAACTACTCTTTAAACAAACGTAGGTGGAAGATTTTTTGTTCTGATGTCTCATTCAAAAGTGAATAACTTATGAATTGCTAGAAAAGTAGCAATTTTACAAATATAATCTATTTTACGGGGTGAAACGTGAAAATAGCACAGGAAGAGAAACTTTGAATGAATTTGGGTTTTTTCTATTTAGGGGACTTTTAGTCTGTGTTGCTATTATGCCTCTTACAAGATCTGTACAAAGTTGGTCTGAACTACCATCAGGCTGCAAATATTTCAAATTTGAAAATATAATAACGGAACAGAGTGTTTGGTTTGGTGTGTCATTTAAAAGTGAATAACTCTTGTATCGGAAAAATAGCCACTTCAAAAAAATTTGGAGCAAGACTCATGATAACAAGTACATGTACCAAGTGGTACAACCCACGACGGTTCCACGAACCGTACAACCGCGAATTTTGCCATGCAATAGGGCGTGACCTAATAATGACCAAATTTGATGCATGCGCATCAGTGTCACAAAGCTGCAGGTATTCCATAGAAACTCACTGGCAAAGCTGTGATACACGCGTGGCATGGAACAGTATCATACACCCTGAGTAAACTGTCCAGCAACCAACCAACCCACCCATCCACCCACACAAGTGTGCATTTGCGTGCAATCGGGGACCCCCTATTGTCCCTCTTTTGTTTGTACTCTGACTTTTTAGGAAGACCTCTCATATGTTTTGTACACAAATCGAAATTGGGGACCTCTCAGGAATCGGGGACCCTATTGTCCTCTATTGTTCAATGTCCCCTATTGAATGCAGAAACAAACTCATCAACCCACAAACCAACCAACATAAGCAGCTCAAGCCCACAGCGTGTTTCACACCGCAGTGGGAAAAATGGGTGGACAGTATCCCCAAACAAACGAACCTACATGTACATGTACATGTTGACAGTATCGCATCACGGACAAGAAACTGTTAATAAAATGCAGCATTGTGTTCATTTCAGCCATGACGTTCTTCATTCAGTTCTTCATGGACAGCATTCATTTAAATTTAGGCGAGTGGAATAGAACATCAAATTATCAATCCAAAAGTCTAGAGTCTATATGGCAATGCTGTACAATGTACATTAAGATTTGCAATATTGTGTATATTATGACATTATTTCAGCCACCCCACCCCGCCAAAACTCCCCTTGAATGTACCAGTATCATTATTAGCATGAGGAAAATCTTGAATTTTACAAGATAATACTTTCGAACACATCCATGTCTGATTAATTCAGTGCACTTATGGGGAAGTGCATTTAGGCATGCAGGCTGTCACGAAAAAGAGTGGTTGATTGAAACATTGGCATGCATGACAAACCGGCGTGATCAATCTCGCTGAGGATTTTAGGAGGACCCGCAAAGTTCAGGCTTTTCCCTGGGAAAAAAAAAACAGCACGCAGCAATAACTGATAGCTTCACTAGGGACGGCTGTCATTTGCTTCTGGCTAAGCTTTCACAATCCTAGTACAGATTTCAATTGAAATGCCTGACGACGCTAAGCCTAATTTCCTGTATACAGCATACGAGTTGACCTCAAAAACAGGCGAGATGTTATGAGGCTTCCGGGCACATCGTACATGTTTGTATATGAGCTACAACATGTGCAATGTCCTTTATTTGTTTTACATGTATTTTGTGTCCTGACTGGGCTTATTTGGTTAAGGGTAAGAAATAAGTTCGGTGACAAAAAATACAAAGCATTACAATTGACAAATTTTGAAATATTGCCAACTGACACAGTGACTGATGACCATAATAAAATGCAACATGTTGAGCTCAACTCCATGTCAATGGATCATGCACAATACTATTAGGTGAAGCCAAACACAGAAAAGTCCAGTGGTTTCCACTAAATAAAATAATAAATAAACAAATAATCAGTGAACAGAAAAGTCAGCGTTCAGTACCAAGATGTTCACATAAAAAAGTGGACATGAACTGGTGAGACTTGCACGTTCTACTCTGCTTATCCACTTCTCTGTCAAAATCCAATGGATGTTTTGATCAATTAATTAATTAATTGGGCAAATGAAAGATCCACGAAATAATCAAAAGGGGATTTGAGGGTCGCTGAGGGCTTGAGAGCAATGTAGGGTCTATGGCATGTGTTTGTAATGTATTTGCCTAAAAGGCAGCCCTTAAAATACCAATTTTGTTTCTACATGTACATGTATATAAACATTTATACATGTAGGTAAAACCTCAGGAATTTCAGATTTCAAAAGGGATTTTTTTTAAATCCTGACATCAGGAACAATCCTGAGGAAAAAAAACTTTTGAAATCAGGGGGAAATCCTGATAAAGAAATTCTGAAATCAGAAAAAAAACACCTGAGAGAAAAATCCTGAAATCGGGAAAAATCCTGAGAGAAAAAAATTGGGGAAAAGTCCTGACAAAAAAATCCCAGAAAACAAGAAAATTCCTGAAAAAAATCCTAAAATCAGGAAAATTCCTGAGAAATTTCACCCCTATGTTCATTAATACAATCTTTCCAACTAAGTTTTGACCCAATTAAGAAGTAGCGCAATTGTTTACAAAAATTCAAACAAAAGAGTAAATTTTGGAAATAAGTATCCATTTAATCTCATCAGCAGTATTAGATTGAATTGATAGAATAGAGTCACAGCCAAATACAGCAGCAACATTAACATTTCAATTATAATTATGTCCAACAGTCAAACACTACAAACCATATTTTCAGAATTATTCAAGCATTATAACGAATTTTGAAGTGGACATTTTTTTTTCATTAATTTGGTGGGAAAATTGTAAATGCTCTACTGTAACAGGTGTTTTTTATTACCACATTATGGCCGTATGAGGGTTTTATCAATAAGTGCATACTTCACTTCAGATCAACTGAAAAAAATCTATACCTCTAAAGCCATCAAGGTTTGAGCCACCTTTTTTCAATGTCCTATTAAAATTTGATCAAGGCAATTATATTTTTGTTGTTTTAAGTTTCCAATTTCGGAAATTTTGTCTTTTCTCTCATACATGTCAAACTGGCAATTTAATGGCAGTCCTGGTGCAGCTTCTTAACTATTAACAAACATGTTGTCTTACGATATCAAGTAATAAAAAAATTGTTCATTCGCCTAAAGAATAAGTTTTCAAAGTATTTGCGACCATCACACCACAAAATTGGAAAAAAATTATAAAGGTTTGGAAAGCACTCTCTGTGGAGGTCGGTTTATACTGTACATCACGCAAAAGTGAAATTTTAGGTAAGACTTGAGCAAATTTTATGATGTCATAAACTGAAGTTTTATTGTGATGCTTGCCATAAACATTACAAATTGGCTTCACACTGAAACTGGCTTGAAGGATGAATCGGCCAGTACTGTTTACAATGTAGGTACAATGTATGTAAGAGGTACTGTCAGTCAGCAAATAAGCAATTGGGCTGATGATCAGCAATTGGGTAAATGATCAGTGATAGAGCTAATGATCAGCAATCGGGCCAATGATTAGCAATTGGGCTGAAAGTCAGCAATTGGGCTGGCAATCAGCGTTTGGGCTGATGATCAGTGACTGAGCTGATGATCAACAATTTGGCCAATGGTCAGCGATTGGGCTGAAAGTCAGCAATTGGGCTGGCAATCAGCGTTTGGGCTGATGATCAGTGACTGAGCTGATGATCAACAATTGGGCCAATGGTCAGCGATTGGGCTGAAAGTCAGCAATTGGGCTGGCAATCAGCGTTTAAGCTGATGATCAGTGATTGGGCTGATGATCAGCAATAGGGCCACTGATCAGCAATTGGGCTGATAGTTATCAAATGGGCTGACGGTGGGCAATTTGGTTGATGATCAGCATTGGGTTGACCATCAGCAAGTGGGCCACTGATCAGCAACTTGGCTGATAATCAGCGACTGTGGATGATGATCAGCAGTTGGGCTGATGATCAGCGATTGGGTGGACGATCAGCAGTTGGGCTGATGCTACGGGCCCTGCCATGATTTAAAGGGGTCTTCTCCTCACCTTTAGTGCTGAAATCGTCCACCATGATGATCTCATGCAGTAGTTCTGGGGGTGATCTGTTCATGACGCTGTGTACAGTCCTCAGTAGCGTAGACCAGCCTTCATTGTGAAAGACTATGATGACACTGGTGGTAGGCAACTTCTCCGGGTAGTGCCAGTATTTGCATCTGAACAAGTCATTTGAAATCATGGTTCTCAAAAATAGATACATTCCCTTAATACAAAGTGGAGGATTGGAAAGTTTGCCTTTCTAATCCTTACATGTATACATGTAGTTGTGAAACACGCTATACATTCAGCTGACGGGAATTGTAATTTGCAACATCACAGACATTACATGTACATATGAGAGTTTTTTAATGTACTTTGGGAGCTCGGTGAATAAACCTGAAAATATATCTTTCAACTCTTAAATACATCCATCATCTACATGTAGTAGGCCTAATGGTCAAGGAGATTATACACTACAAGTTTTGAATCATTTCTCTGAATCATTGATATCGTAAATAACGTCTCTGTCACAGACATTGCTAGTTTCTGCAGACATCGTCCTGCACTTGTTTGAATTTTGCATTTCATTTTTTTGTAAGTTGGTCGGCAGAGCGGTCTTGTCACGCTTCTTTTCGAAGCCTATAAACAGCGCAGCAAATGCAGAATGATAAGAGAATTCACACATTTAGTACTGTTAACTATTATGCAAAAAATGTTTTTAAAAAAATGTATCTACATGTACCATTTAATCTCAACCTTATTTTTCCTGACAACCGTTAGAAAAGGTTTAAAGCAAAAAAAATTACCCAATCTCCCACCCTTTATTTTGCCAACTAAATATGAAAAAAAAAATTGGCCTCATCATCAATGTGAATAAAACACTGGAGTAATAGTTTCTTCATCACTATACTGATGATTTCATCAATTACTGAACTGTGACTCAGGTAAAAATAATCAGCCTCCAAAATAGAAAACGGGCAAACAAAAATGATGCCCAACAAGTTTATTTTTCCACTTCAAAGCCAATAGACAAGGGCATGTTCAACGTATGTATAATTTACACAATCCTCCATGCCCTACATGTATTTCCAAATTTACGTGCATTTAATGAAGGTGGCTGGCAGGTGTAGAAAAGCAATCAAACCTCAGGTGTGCATGTACTATAAACCACCATAGGGTGTTTGGAAATATTAAATGAACGTGGAATCCACTAGTAACTCTGGACGCGCAAACGTGCGACGAAGCCGAAAATCTAATAAGACAGATTTTTTCAAGTTCATTATTTAATCAATTTGCCAAGAGGTTGCATGTACTGAAGCTGGTGGAGATTACCGGCTGGGCCACCGTTTTGCTTTATATTTGCTCCTGCACAGAAAAAAATATTGCTCTTAAACATTGAAAAATTAAATATGGTTTTTGCAAAGTGCTGATGCTTCATTGATAACCAGCTTACATGTATTCTAATGTTCGTGATGGGCCGAATGACCAATGCACTATCAGTGAAATGTCATTCACACAGAGCATCTCAGTGTATTACAGGTCAAGCAGATGATGTACAGGGAAAAAACACATTCACTTCAGGCACGTCAGGTTGTTTTGTTATTCAGGAAAGAAATCTAACCATTACCTGTTTTCTTAGAGCTTGAAGCTCATCAAACTATCATGTTGGATGTACAATGAAGCCTAAAGAGAATTGATGTGAAAAAAATTTCGAACTCTAAAACACAGGTTGCAAGAATGTCACAATGTCTTCATACAGCGATATGAAGATGAATTTCAAACATGAACTTCAGACATACATGTGTAAGTGTTCCTCATTTCAAATGCCAAATGTATACTGTACATGTATGTACAGTCTACAGTGTACATAAGATTCATGCAGTTGACTTGGAATGACTTACTGTGAATTCCTGAGATCTGGTATATTCCTGTCCAGGGATATCTTATCACTCACGAACTGGTTGAAGCCATATTCCTTGATACTCCTCTCAATCGCTTCTTGCTCCTTTGGCCCGGTTCGGACCGGTATCCCGTTTTCCCCGGGACCAGTCTTACGAGATGCCTGTTCTGGCTCATAGTTTCCTAGGGATGATTTCAGCGAAGCTCCCTGCTGAACGGAGCCAAAGTTATGGGCTGCCTTGTGTATGGGAGGCCGGTCGATGCCAACCCCTTGCACATCAAGGGCCAAATCGGCAATTTTCTATGGACGACAAGAATAAACAGCAATAACATGAATTTCAACACTCAGATGACTTTTCAATAAAATATACTGCAATTGAAAAGATTGTTAAATTCCAATCTCTTGATTTAACACAGGTTCAATCCCAAACAGAGACTATGTACATGCAGGAACAACTGATACACTGTATGTGTCCCGACAGGTACATATACATTGTACATGTACGTACATTGTACGGCTAATGAGGGCTCGGCGTAGGTTTACAGTGTTTTTGTGGGTAGTGTGGATCATGAAACCGGGTACCTGATTGAGAAAACACGGGTGTCCGTGTACCCGCCACCCCCAAATTCAAATCTCAGAAGTTGCTGTTCAGATTGTTCATAAAGGTCTGTACGATAATACTACATGTACCACTATGTACCATGTTGGTGCGTCAATATTATACAGCAAGATACAAGTGTGTACAGTGAGCTTTATATACAAAACTGCAACTTTCGCAAGCGTCATAAATGTGAAATTATATGTTTTGTTTTCCCATGAGGCATGCTTTTCATTTGAAATTTGCCACAAATGGCATCAAAACCTTTCTTTTTTTATTGTCTGAGAAGTTACTAAGTAATACATAAATGTATGTAAAGTTGGTTATCTAGATGGGTACTCGATTCGATAATCTGGAATCGCTTCCTGACATCCACGGTCGGGTTCTCAGGTACCCGGGATCCGATGCACAGCCCTAGCTCAGTAACTACACTTTTTTGACAATGATGGTGAACAAATTGATGCATGTGAATGGAGCACTGAGCACACAATTATATTCCAACTAAAAAGTAAAATGCCATTTGCACTGTACAATCATACATGTACCTCTTGCCAATATTTGAGGAAAGGATTTGGAACACACCCAAGCAGGACATACAGTGAAAACTGGTGCTAATGATAAAGTGTCTGCAACTATTGCATACTTTGCATGTATTTGTAACCTCATGATCATCGCTCTATGACATATAAATTTGAAAGGGCTTCAAGTCCCATGCGAAGTAATAACTAGTGGCTGGGATGTATGCATCTTCTTCAACCATCAACCCTGCAAAATCCTCCAGAGCCTCGTGATGGAGTTGGAAGAATCTGGGAGGATCAGGGTTTAAGAAACATTTCATCACTCATTCTCACATTCTAATCCTAATTTGGAAAAAAAAGTCGAATTCACACATCTCGAGTACACTTTGCTTCCAATTTTTTGTGACGTTAAACCACTATTCAAGGCCCATGCTGTCGTCAACACAAAAATTGCAATGGTACGATTTTTGCCCATTCATCATGTTCATGTCAGCACCTCTTGGTACCGTATTTTGATTAAGAATCAATTTGGGAAAGAATTTACTTCGCAAAATTTACTGAAAATACATACATGCACACGCATACACTTATCATTGAACATGCTTTCTGATAAATAGACTTTGACTGTTCAAAGCACAATTGTCAGTTCTCACAAATTACACGCATGTCAACAAATCTGGCTACTCCAGGACATAAAATGAATTTAAACCTGAAGTACTCATCATAGCCAGTGCTGCAGTATCAGCAGCTGCACATTTATTTAATTATCTCCCCAGATACCCCTGCCTTATTGATTTTGAAGATAGGTGTATGCACAATGAACACATGTGTTCTTTGCAAGGAAATGAGGAAATATACGCAACAGATAAATTTACGTGGCTTTTAGTGCATGCTGGCTTAAATATTGTAGTCAGTTCAATGTTCAAGTTTAAAAAAATAACCTGTGTCATGGAGGCTTCCTGAATGTTTTCCACAACTACATTGGATATGAGTACTGGATATTCATGAGTACAAACACAAAAGAATTTCAGCTGATATTTTCTGCGAAATAAGTGTAACTAATATGGATGTTTCTCATGTATTCAATTTGAAAAGAAAAGTGTGGCAGTGTGATATTGCAAAAAAAGAAAAAAAAATATTCAACAATTGGTGGCACCGATAATAATTTTTGAGTTGACAATGACAGATACATCAATTTTGACCCATTTGTGTTTTCACCTCTTTGGATGTATACATTTTTCCAGTACATTAACAATTTTTGACCAACTCTCAAAACAAATTAATTAAGACTTCATCAATTGTAGGGTTTTGTTCTTCTTTTCTCTTTTTCATTTTTGTGTCTTTTTCTTTACCTTTTTTTTCAGTAAATTTGCCAGATCCACCACCGCAAACATCAGTAGAGTTGAAAGATTACACACATTTTGCATTGTCTTAAAAACAGGGATATTAAGACAAATGCTGTGAAAACATTGGGGAAGAATTCCACACATGGACATCACTAAAAAATTTCCCTGCAGTGACCTTCATGTATCAGCCATCAGAAAGCGATAACACCTCCTAAAAAGTCAACTTTGGCAGGGAAAATATTGAGGCATTTACTGAGAAAACACTTGGAATATTTCATACCAGTCTCATAGGGTTTGTGCACAGGGTGTCAAGTGATGTCCAGGTATGGAACTCTTTCCAAATTTGTGATGTTGCAAAATGAATAAATTTGCAATGACTTAGAAGAAAGTTGTCCAACAGTTGTAACAGAAATCCATGATGAATCAGATATTTGCAATGTCAAAAAATGTGCATCTTAAATGCCACCATACATGCCATAAAAATCAGAATTGCCAAATTTTGAACGGAACACATCATCAGCCTGAAAAAAGAACATCCCTTTCCATCCAAAGCATTATTCAAAAACTCCACTGATATCTGAGATTGCATACATACATGACATACATCTGGTAGTTTTTCGGCTGTTTTGGGATGAAGTCTGACGATTTTGTTAACTTGTGTTATGAGCAATTTCATGTTTCAATTAGGCATCATTTGTCCTAAGATCCTTATGACCTTATCCCAAATCATTTAAACATTCAAATATTAAAAAATAAAACTGCTGTTTCTATTTTTACAGTAGCGAACCATGAGTGAATAACCAAATGATTCTCAATCCTTTCTGTACCTCCCCTTGATAAAATCCTCAAGAGCCATGATAAATCAGAAGAGACGATGCAAAGAAGAAGTAGATCTTAATAAAACACAATAAAACTTTTTAAACGATGAAAATGTTTTGTAAACTAAAATAATTCTCCTCATGGAGGATTGAACATGTGTGACCTGTAACAGTAGCCACTTGGCACTTTGTTTTGATTAGAAAATTTCAAAACTAAACACAATGACTATCGTTGTGGCAGTCAACCTTCTGGTTCTCTGACCCGACATTAGACAATATTCAACGTCAGGATCTCTGGCTCTTGGAACCAGACTATCAACCGAGGGTTTTCAGATTATATTTCCCTTTAAAAAATCTTCAAAGCCAAGAATAACGAAGAAAAAATGAAATCTATTTCAATAAAAAAGTAGGATTTGAATTTTGATTGAAAACATAAAAGTAAGGCAGTGGATATTTTGCCGGAGACGGCAAACCTTTAGTAAACGTTAGTTTGCCGGATATGCACTGAACATGCGCAGTTACTGTTTTTTTGTACTTTCATAACATTTTCCGGTGACAAATTTTAGTCTGGCCAATATTATCGTTGTCACCTTGTATTCACAAGATGGGATTCAGACCATTTTATAATTTCGGACTTCATTTCCCTTTTAAAAAAAATCCTCCAGAGCCACAAATCTGAAGAAAAAAAATGTAATACTCTGCAATAAAATGTTTGAGACATGTTAAAATAATAAAAGAAGAATATTCTGATTTATTTGGGGATGGGAAAAAAAAATTTAAAAAGGTGGCGGGGATCGGAATCGAACCCGAGACATCCCGCTTACTACTACTAGAGCCTTTGATTAACCACTACACCAAACATGCCAAATGTGCTACACAATTTTTGATGGGAATTTAATACATCTTATAATTCAGCCCTATCTTAAAGAGTACAGCGCCCTCTGTTGATATGGATTGCCGCCGGCAAACCTTTAGTAAACGTTAGTTTGCCGTCATTACCTCCGGCAAAATATCCACTATCTAAAACTAAAAGTAAATAAACCTGTTATTTGTTAGTAATACTTGTTATTGTTAAAATGTTAAGAACAAAAACAATTCTGCAACTCTAGTAATTATTCACAAAATGTTCAGTATTCTTTATGATAACAAAATGTTGACATTTTTCTCCTATCCAAATGTCCGCAACATACCATTCTGTTTCCGCCGCCGCCGCCACCGCCACCGTCCGGGTCCGGCTGTTTATTCGCATCCTCTCCGCTTCCCGACATCTCACCGGCCATCAAGAAAGTTTTCACCATGAAAACAATCACCACCGTCACACTGACCACCAGTATACATTTTTTAGTTTTGAATCGAGCCATTTTTAGTTAGTAGTACTTTCACGGATCGCGAACGAATCTCATCTCACTCTCAGTTCGGTGGGAGAACTGAGCGGGGGCTAGTTGACACGTTGTGCCCCACTTTCACTGATCGATATTTCACTGTATTTTTTACACTGATTGTTTACATCAGCTGACTGACTGAACATAAAATGCAAAACACCAATGACAAATCTAGAAGGGATTCAGGGAACTATACTACTGTAAAAGCAAAGAAAGCCGAGTCTAAACCGGGCAATTTTGGCTACGACTTTCACGGGTTTTTTTGCCATTGAGACACGATGTTGTAAGCCATAGCCTTTTAATATAAAATTGACGGTTTTTAAATTCAACAGAGGGCGCTAGATAAAAATTTACTTTACTCATACCGTGCAACCGTGCCTGGGGTTTTCTTATTTCAGAACAAAATCTGCCTGCTCAATTTAGACAAGCCGGGTTTTTTGAGATTCCAATTATCATTCAAGTGTATTCAGTTTCAAAAGATAAAAGATTCGAAATTGGACAGTTCGTTATTGTTTTATAGAGAACATCTGCAGCAATGAAACTAGGCCTAGTACAAATTGTGGGAGAAAACAGCCCCCTCCTTCTCCCCCCCCCCCCCCCCCCTGAAAAAAATTCCTCCCCTAATACAAATGAAACCCCCAATTTCGAATTACCTAAAGGAAAACACCTGAACTACATATCCTCTTATATTTTATTCACATGTATGTCAGACAACTATTAAAACTTTCATCATGAGAGGTAAAATTCCAATTGTTTTGTAAAGGCCCCCCCCCCCCCGCAATAATATGAAACGGGGGTTCCAAAAACCTGTTAAAGTTTTCCCTTAATAACATGGTGCTAGCTGTCCAATTAATGCTTTCATAGGATCCCACACCCCATTACATAACTTATTCATTCTTGCAAAACATTCTTCTTCACTGCAAAATCAGTTGTAATTTGTTGACCATACCCAGTGCTAGGCTTCCCAAATCCAAGGGTAGGGTTGTGTACTTCTAGGGGGACATCTGGGGTTGCATCAATTTTTCAAGGGGGGGGGGGCACTGAAGACGAGTCTACCCGATGTTCCCCAATACCTATTTTCCCCAAAATCCTTAGGGTTAGGGGTTAGGGTTAGATGGTTAGGGTTGGGGAACATAGCCAAGGTATTGGGGAACATGGATACTGGGCAACATAGGTATATGCATCCCTAAGAGCGTCAACCGATATTTTGTTTTTGGTACTTGGTACTTGGTTGGTGGTCCTCCTTTCTGTAATTGATTAGTACAACTTTGGCCAACTTAAAGACAAAGAACCAAGCCTACAAAAATCTGGTTTGCATTCAAGTGCTAGCCTTTTATTTATAATAAGGTTGCCAATTGTTTCTGCAACATCAATGAGCACCATTTTCAACAAAATCTTTGATCTTCAGCTAGTTTCCATAAACCACAAGGATAATTAGTTGTCAGCAATTCACAAAATCTGAAAACAGAACTTCAGAAAGAAATTTGGTTCTCAGTGATCCCTTGCAACATCATTTCTTCAAAATCTAAATAATAACACTTGTAATAATACTGAACTTCAACAAATGCTAAGGAAATTATTTCCAAAATTAAACGCAATTAAGTTGTAACCCTTATTAGAAATGGACATTGAACATACTGGGCAAAATCATCAATAAAATAATGAATGGTAAATATATTTACTTTTTTCACTTCTTGGGTTCTGAAAAAAATTATTAATTTTCCTATTTTAATACTACGTATTGCATGATCAGAACTTAAGCTTTATTGAAAAATGTCTTTAACTTAAAAAAACGTATTGAAAAGAATTATGAAAACAACTGATGTAATGAACTGATTAGTAATGAGTGATTCTGAATGACTAGACATGCAATATTTGCAGTAATATCGACCATAGGCCTATTACCTGTGACTTCATGCCCATCACTGGGCTGTCAGTTACTGACCAACCAAAACAACACTGAATGTTTTTCCTCAAGTTTCTCCCAATGAAATTCGTACAAGAATTTTTGACCACTTTCAACACCCCCAAGTTCGAGGGGCACACCACATGCGCATACTGGTTTGAGTGCGTAGATTTTCTTTTTAAATTTTGCACAAACCAGTAGCGTCTTCGCACAAGCATCAGGCGCAGCGGGTGATGCGTTTGAATGTCCCTGCCAGTGGTCTCCGGTAGACGGAAAAGGAGGCCATCTAGAACGATGTGCGTCATACCTTATTGTTAGAATTCCCACTTGCTTTGTTTACGTAACGTTACAAAGCCAACAGTGGGAATTATTTCGAGTAAACTTTGAAGCACGTTGTTCTAGATGGCCTCCTTTCCCATCTAGTGGTACTGGTTTCCCCCATCTCTCCCTTTGTAACCTGTAGAGGGGGTACTTGTGCACCGAGTCCATACTGCACAGAAGTGTCCATGAAACCTATGCATAGACCATTTGCACTGCGGCCATCTTTGAAGCGTGTGCTTCTGTTCAACAGGGATACGCATGAGTAAACCTCTTGCGTATTCATTGTTGTATATCAAAATGTACCTCAAACATGGCTGAATGCAATGGATCTACATGTATATAGCATACATGCACAATGGTCTCTGTCAATGTAGCAATTAACTTATCTTTGTCATTTACTGTTACTTATCTTTGTCATTTACTGTTATGTTTTGTTTATCTATTAAGTACTTTATATGTTTTCATTATGAAGTTATGAAATAAACTAGATTGATTGATGATTGAACATTCTCGGTGGAGGAAATCTAAAATCGCAGCGTTGGGAAAAGCAAAGGGTGGGGAACTCTTCTGCAATGGTAGAGGAAGATGTACGTAAAATGGTTCTGTGCGTGTGCTAGTAGTGGGAGCACCACGCTCAGGTATGCCTAGTGAGACCACTATGAGCTCAGTGCACAAATACCCCCTCTATGGTTTACAAAGGGACAGCTGAGGGAGACCACCGGGACATTTGAATGCGTTGTTGATTATTACGAGCAAATGTTATGGGTGTTTGCAGATTCAGAAGAAAATGGGTCATGCAAGCTGCTGTACTCTTCTGCAGTACGAACTAGTGTGCACAGGCAAAACATCCCTCACGAAGTGCCATCTCTTGTATCATGCTTGGAGTCCAACGGCATTAAAGTTTTCCTGGTCAAAGTCAGTGTAACAGCAAACATGCAATTGTTGTGTTCTAAAATCCATTCTAAAATATGTTAACTTTATCTTCTTTGCACTGATGTTTCTGTTACATAAAAGCATATTCCATAAACTTAAATTAACTTAGATTTTCATTTAAATAATTCATTTACAATACTTCACTGATGATGAGAGACAATCTCACTGGCAAAACAAGAATTGACAATGCAGGTAAACGGTTTTTTTTTGTTTTAAAGTTTAAAACCAATCCATTACCTACTTAGTCATTGTTTTATAAATGTCTGCTTGTAATTAATATAAAATATTTAAAGTAAATGGCACAAATACTGTGTACATATGTACGTGTACAAATTCGACTTGCATTTTATGAATTCTTACAAGTGCTTTAATTTCAAACAATAATTTAAAGGGCTCATGCATTGTCATGCGGCAATTTTTTTATTGCTATTCTTGAAAATGATGTGTCGCATTTAACCTTATTTTGCCATTTTCAAGGGTATTTTTGTGCCTTTTTTGTTTTTATGCTGATGCAAATTTCCATATTCATGAGCAAAAGTGTGAGGTCATTTTAGGCAGAACCTCAATGTTACAGTTATTTCAGCACCACAAGTTGCCAGAATTTTTGATATTTTCTGCTGTTGTAAATTTTCTTTTCTTTGGTGATTTTCGTCAGTACCGTACATGGCAGTAAGCCAATGAGCAAAAATTTCTTACAGATGTTTTCAATGAGCAAATTTTTTAAACAGTGGCTTCCTGAAATTACATCACAGCAACAGTGCCCTCAGTTGTCCGGAAAAGTATGGAAAATTTTGAATGTTTAAAGAAGTGCACTTTTCAATTAAATCGACCAAAAAGGGATGTCAAATAGTTTTCATGCATTCAAGAGGACAATGTTGCACAGAAAATGTTCCTAAGAAAAACTTTTTGCATCTATGGACCCTGAACACTTTAATGTTGGTGTCATTAGGAATTCTAATTTACATAAATATCAAATATATGTTATTATTTTCTTTTGACAAACTTTGTGCTTATTATTGAACTCAAATGTAACAAGTTGCCTGGATTTCGAATTTCCGATTGAAGCATTCCCACTAGACATTCTGATAAGATTGCTGAGTAATTGCACTTTGGCCAAATCAGATTCACAACAGCATTGTTATTAATACAAAATACGCATACAGTGTACATGTACAAGGATACACTTCTATTCACCCAGTAAAAAGTTTCTTTTGAATATTTAGTCTACTGATACGATGCAAACATTTTCTTTATTTAACAGCGGTTAACATGAACTACGCACTGCTTGTCACACAATACAAAAATAGAATACAACCTTTTTGAGCATTACAGCTTCGACCATTACGTTAACCTACATTGAACTGTTTCCTTGTCCTTCATAATTCATGTATTTCCTGAGTGAAAATTCAGGCATGTTTAGGTTTACACACATACATGTACACTGTACACTGGGAGGTGTATACATGTACCAGTAGATGAAGACAACAATTGTATAGTTAGTTTTTCTTTTCCTTTTTTCATATGATATACAGTGTAACAATCCTCATTCAAATGTAGGAAACGTGGCAGGGCAAGACACAGCCATAACATGACACAAAGTCCGTGACGAAGACTCGTTATATGCTTCATGCATATTTTGTCAAATACATATTTTGTAGTCCAACACAACACTGGTGTTTAACACTTGGTCTGGACAGGGCCATTGCGTCCACATGTTTGTTAATATAATGCACGTTCAAATTGTTCACGCGTCTTGCACTGAAGGGTTTTAAATATCGCTTGCACTACCGCCCCGGCAAACTACTGGCAATATTCTTGTTAAGTCTAATTGAAGTTCATGCCACACAGCTCAGCAGTTAGTGCTTCTCACTCATTAACAAGCATGCCAGGTTGTTGGTTCCAATAAACATTTTGGGATGATTGCACGGACATCCAACAATTCAACACAGTGATAGTCTGTTAGACATACAATACTCTGTAAACATACAGACACAGAAGTCCTTAAAGCGCTTTGGTTACGTTGAGATTGTAAACTTTTCTTGTTTTTAACAGGATCAAGGTTTCCTTCATTCACAAGAATCTGTGATACCCTGCAAATTATTCCCTTGACAATGTATGTCACTGCAGTGGTTTGACCATCACCTGCAGTACAACGTTATCATTCACCAAAAAGCGGGAATTCGGTGATGACAGCTCGTCCACCGAAACCTTCTTGTCCAGATCCGAGTCAGCAGTATACCTCGACTTTGTGAAGTTCTTCTTTCCAGAAACAGAAACCAGGACGCCCTCCTTATTCACCATTGAGATCATGTATTCCATGGGCCGCGGCAGATCAAGCACCACGTTGGAGTAGAGCACGACGCGGAAGTCCTCGTTATTTGTGGACGAACCCTTCGGGTATATCTTCAACTCCCAGTCCCAGCTCGTGTGAGGGTAGGAGGAGGAGCGCGTGGAAAACCTGGGCATGACTTCCGAGAGTCTTCCAAAGTGGGAGTATCCCGACAGAACAATGCGTTTGTCCCAGCGGAGGTCGGTGTAATTCCTTAGCAGGAAGTTGGAGGAGGTGAAATCCTTATTGTTGGACCTGGCCTCCAGGTTGATAGCATTGAACTTGTAGGCCTGAAGGAGGTAGGGTACAAACATCTCCGGATTCTGCTCCACCACGCGGTGTTTCTCAAGTTGCTCCAGTTGCTCTGGGGTCATCATGGGAAATCGGATGTACTGGATGAACTGCTGCAGTAACTCCTTCTGTTTGCTCTGCCGCTCAGGATGCTTGGGCGAATCGATCCACTTGACCAGGGCGCGGAACAGGGTCAGCTCATTGCGGATGGTCAGGTCTGAGCTCTTCAGGAACTGGGTCAGCTGTTCAATGTCCAGTGCCAGCCACTCCACGCTCCATTCAGGCAGGGACATGATGTCATCGGCCTTGGGAGACAGGGCTGCAATGCAAGAGGTGACGAGACAGTGGTGGTAGCATTTGGTGGCATACTGGTACCAGACATGAAACACGTCTTTGAGGGGTAGCTTCGGGATGATGCTCCTGGTGGCAAAGTTGATGCAGACTTTTCGTAGATCGCTGACGTTGTACTTGTCGGCAAGCATGAGGATGGGCAAGGTATTCTCCACGGTGAGGACAATGTGACAGCTGTACAGAAACTTGAGAAATGCCTCAAAGACATCGCAGCACTCCGGCTCCTCAACTAGCTCCACTTCCTGCATCAAAATGAGAACACACAAGACATGATTATAAGGAGGTTTCATTTAAACTTTGGTTTACACAAAAGAGCATCCTGCTTTATAAACAACGAGGCTTTGTCTCGCCCACGGGGGGAGGGGGCTTTGCTGTCTTGCCCGTAAAGAGAGGCGGCATTGACCGCTTCACGATCAAGCGCCCGCTTCGCAGTTAAGTGACCACTTGGCGGTCAAGCGACCGCTTTGAGATCAAGCGCCCAGTTCGCAGTCGGGCAACTTGTGAACAACTTGTGAACACACTAACACACGACCTTTCTTCTTTATACCGGTAAAATAGCAGTGATTTACGATGCATTGCAAGGAAAGCAGTTGACACTTCTCTTTTTTTTTCTCTTTGAGTACGTACATATAGTTACATGTTGTTGCCTTAATTACACCAAATTATAATCTCCAATGGGGCCAATTTGAGCTTACCTGTATGTACATAAACGCTTGCCATTTGGACATCCCATTTCCCCCAAAAACTTTGGAACATACCTTTTTGTTTTTCTTGTGGTCAGTTTTGTTTTTTTAATGCCCTTATGTTAAATTCTCATCATTCAATTTGCTTACTTTGTTTGTACATGTGTACAAACTGATACACTGAAATACATTTAAATTCATAATTTGTAAAACTAAGAAAATGTCTTTTTTTGTGCAAATAGTGTAACAATTTTCCTGTCCCCGTTACGTATAAATTGTATCGTTTTAAAGAATGATTCAAAATGGTTTTTAGTTTGTTGGGTAGTTTGCTATTCATAATCACTCCTGGAGGATGACTGCATTACCGTGATTACAGGAGTGCATCCAGGAGTACAAATTCATAGATGATAGATGTAACAGGGACAGGAAAAAGTGGATCCCAAATGTATAGAGTGGTATCAAATTTATAGAATGTCATCATTTACATGTACAAATGTAAAAGAATGAAATTTAAAACTACATACATGTACCGTATACCACAGTAGGATATGTCCCATTATTTTTATATAGTCAGAGGCATTGATTTCACAAACTACCGGTACCAGTATTTCAATTGATTTCATGTCCCTAATGTTCATGAGCATAACCTTATTTTGGTGAAATTCGGCAACTCCAAGTGCCTTTGTTTGCTGAAACTTCAAACGTTTCCTGTAAGTACAGACACAAGGAGATGCAGAGTTTAATGTCAGACTGCCTATAATTGTACATGTGAAGGTCACAGGAGGACGATCATAAGTGTGTAGTCATCACTCTTGGCACAAAGCCAACTTGTGACACAGAAGAATAACATCCTACTCGGCTACCAAGAAGTCTTCCCAATCATCATCTTCGTTACTGTCCTCATCCTTATGGGTGATTTCCCAACCCACAGGGCAGTAAGGTCAAACACAGTGTCACAACATCCCGGGGGGGGGGGGCATAAATGATAAATTGTTGGTCTTATCATCCACACTGGAGACTAGATGTTACCACAAACCGGAATAACAAGACATACCGGGTAATAGTTCATGATATCTGTGGTTGTTGCACAAATTCACCAGCCGATTTCAACCAAAATTCTTATCAAAGAAGACAAGTGATGGATGATGGAGTATTAGGAGTATACATCATACCTTGGCATTAATTGTTTTTGTTATACCATGTATTAGCATAGGGCAAGGGTCCTTGCTCTATGGTATTAGGTTGTAACATTTCATTAGTCCTGAAATGTTTACAATGTATGTGAAGTACCAGTACAGAAAAAGTTCATGTATGACAATCTGATGGACTCTGCTGAGTACATGTACATCACCCCATGTTACCCGGGTACCGGTACATCAACTTTTATCATTCTCAAAGACTTTAAAACATTTTCATCCCCGCTGTTTTGTACATGACACAGCTCAAAAAGACCCAAACAATTTACAGTGAAATAACTGCAATTTGCATTCTGTTTCCCTTTGCCATGTCATGACTACATGTATAATTTTAAGTGCAGTTTTTGCAATCAGATTTTTGTTCAATTTCTAGTGCCAAGTTTTCCTTGAAACTTCAATAATGCTGAGCATAATATACATACCGGTATGTTAACGAAATTGCTTGATGAAGTTTCAAAATGTGATTTTGAAATGTCTCACTGGCAAAATGATTGCGAATGCTGCCGTACATGTATGTACTTTGCATTCAGCAATAACATGGATGAGAAACCTGGCTCCTGGCCAGATCAGTGATGCAGGGGAAAAATTGCATCTTGAGATGTACTGCACTGGCAGCCATCTGGTTTTCAGTTTTATTTAAATGTACCATTAGATGAGCGTGTACAATGACTTGGATGTAAAATATGTGTACATGTGTATCAGAATGTTGTAAGTTATGTACATGTTCCAATTACATGTAACATCTCAAAGAGAAGTGCAATGAACACGTAAATTGTAGGTATTTGCCAACAAAAACATGGGTCACAAACATAAATGCACATGTATGCATCATCACAAGATGTATTTAAATGGATTATTAATCAATACTCTACGATGTTTTATTGGCTATTGATAGCATGTGGGTTAAACGTTACATACAACCTATTATCCCCCTGGTTCCTAGTGTACAACAGGTCCCTGAAAATCAACCAAATTATGATATGATTTCACCTCTGCTATGTCTACAAAAATCATTTTATTGTGAAAAAAAGATTGACTCGACTAAATCATCCGTTTAAAAAGACCACAGGTTCTTTAACATTCCTATGCAAACATACATTCTGTGCCAAGTTGTCCTTGCAGTCAAAATCAATCACGTGACTGTTAACAACCCGTCAGAATTCCCAGCCCACATAAAGCAGGACTGACTGCCTTGGACTGCTTAAGTAACTTGAAATGTTTTGACCCCACGAGAGTGATAAAACAGCTGTGACCACAACTTGCCTGCTTTGTCTGTTGACCAAATGACTAGACATGGTACTTGCTTGACATGTGATCTGACTGCTGGTGACTAGCCTTTGTTAAAAGTATAGCAGGGGAACTTGTACTTGTAGAAGTGAGTTTTGACTGTCTGTGACTGCTTAAATAGCAGGAGGGTTAATGTACACATGTACATTGTATAAGTACACGAAAGTTAATATGTACTGTACAAGCTATAGGATATGGACAAACCTGATGCTCACAGAAATATTTTTTTTAAACATTCCCTCAGAGGGGTGTACCGGTATATTCTTATATGAGCTACATGTAGTGAGAAGCTGGGGACTTCCTGTTATTGGTACATGTACATTCCATCTTGAGCCAATCGGAGAAGATGAATCATATGTACCGGTATGATGCATGCATGTACCAGAAACACTGCAGGAGCTTTGTGGCAGAGTCGCATTTCATTTTGATAAAGATACCTAGAATCATTTGCTTCTTCTGCAGTTTTTTTTAGGCAACAAAATTTCTCAAAATCTATACAGTACGGTGTATATGTACATGTATATTTTAACAACTAATGCTATGTACATGTCAGATTTTAACCAGCCAACCGATCCCGTTAGCTCGGTGGTCGAGTGGTAAGACATCTGCACTAGAAAGCAGGAGGTCGTTGGTTTGAGTCCCACCTGAGTGATTTTTTCCCAACTTTCACTCGGGAGGTAACACACTGAGTATACAGTGTCTATACGTCGGTGAAGGGCAAAACCTAATTTGAATTGAATCAAGGAAAGAGGACACATTGTTGTTTCACATGATCTTTAACTTATTAGAAAATTAGATTTTTTATAATCTACATTTACACCTTGGCTTCCTTTTTTTTGATACGCCCTTTTTACACATGGGCGTTGCGAGGGGGGGGGGGGGGGTAAGGGGGCACTCCCCCCCCCCCCTCCAGAAAAAAAGCAAAAAAAAAAAAAGAAAAGGAAATTAACAAAACAAAAAAAAACAAGGAAAAAGAGGTCCGAAGCCACATAATTTGAGGGGGAGGATAAGGAATTTTGGGGAAAGATTTGCTTTGCCCCCCCCCCCCCGAAAAAAATCATGGCGACGCCCATGCCTTTACAGTACAATGCTGACTGGAATTTTTACTCACCATCTTATTAGGGTCGGTCCACTCTGAGCTGAACATTCTCTCAAAGACCTCACTGGACCGCACCAGGATCAACTTGTGGGCGCTGTAGCATTCGAACCCCACCCTCAGCTTGATGTCGCTCAGCAGCGCGTTGTTGAAGAAGCGGGCCATGTCGCCCAGGGTCTGACGCTCGTTGCCGTAACAGTCCTTACCGCTGGGCGGAAGGCTCTCGTCCGTGTCCTCTTCCTTTGCTGAGACGGTGATAGGGGCTTGGAGTTGGCTTGCGGCTGCCATGTAGAGGGCCTGGATTGGGGGGATGTCATTCGGCGCTGCACCCCCACCTGGAGGACCTGCTTGCATCATTCTGTAGCCCTGGGTACGAGGATCTGCCTGTGGTAGTACATGAGATAAAAGGTCAGGAACAAAGAGATGATGTGAACCGACTCTTTGGAAAAATACCTGAACTTTTTTAGGTTTAAAACACCATCAATAATGCAACAGGGGATGCCAACAATTGTACATGTACCTGGTATAGCAGGGCCCAAATATTATTAAATGGTTGTCCAAGAATATTTTGCTAGAGTGGCAACTGTTACTTTCAGGGATGTAATACATGTAGATATACATTAACAGGGGGATGCCTTTTCCAAAATGTGCGCATTAATTATCCTTGCAGTTGGATCTGATATAAACTTGCAAGTCTCCTATCCAATTTCTTTAACAAGAGCAGCTGAAAAACCTACTATTTAGGTCAAAGATGATGGCTGAAAATATTGTCAAAATATATGCCCTGCAAAAATGATCAGTCAGTCAGTCAGTGAGATGGTTACAATGAAGACTGTAGGGTGGCCTTTTTGGGACCAGCAAAATAGACTGTTGATGGACCATTTCACCTGTAATGTCATGACTGTCAGTTGCTGACAAGCAAATTATCCATCCATAACTAAAGTCAACACTTCCAAGCCAACGCCAATTTCAAGTGACAAACACACAGTGAAGAGTAGAATAGTTGCTTACTCCAACTGAAAGTCAGTGTCAAGTGAAAGTCTGCCATGATCTAATGATAAACCCATTACTTTTTAATCAACGCTTCATTACACGGGGGTAGAAGTCAATTGCCAAGAATCTGACTCTTTTCACCATTAGCCATCAATTAAAGAGTCTTCAGAAATAAGAGACCTTGACAGTATGGTTACTGATTATCACACTGAGTAGTGAATTTTTGTATATACATGTAATTACACAAAAGGAGCCTCCATCGCCTCCTTTTTTTCAGTCACAAAATCTTAAATGCATGATGCATGCACTGCTAATGCAGAACTCCAGATGTTCACCGATGCAGTTACACACGTAGAGTGGTCATCGATTCTCGAATTAAACCAAATTTTGGAGGCTTGAAAACAACCCTCTTTTTATGTCATACTATAATTATTCTCCCAGCAAACATTCTCAGATTTTCTGCAAAAAGAATCCTAGCCTTGAAATTCAGACTTCAAATATTTTGCAGTTTCAAGTCATCGGTGTTTTTCTTGTCGACGTCTGTTTCCAACATGACTACAGTAGCTTCAACGCAAATGATGACGGACTTCGGTTTTTATGCCTCTCCATTGAATGCATCCATGCCATCTGAAACTGAGGCCAGAGATTACGTAACGGAAACCGATGTTATACGCCTCATCTTTCTCATCATAGAAACTGCTCTACTCCTTACGCTGAACCCACTTTGTCTCCTGGCTCTAAGCCATGACGGCTGCCGATCTGGGAGTGGGGATTTTTGGGGCCATCCCAATGACTCTTTCAGTGATTAATGGGACTTGGCCATTGGGGCAAGCATTGTGTGGAATGCAGTCATTTCTGTTTATCTCCTGTGCCCTAGGATCCCTCCTTTCACTGCTCTTGCTATCTGTAGACAGGTACATATCTGTTGTGTACGCGCTCCGTTATTATTCCTTAGTGACGGTGAAGCGAGCCCGAATTGCGGTATGTACTGCATGGGCGGTTGTCTTGGGCATAGTGACAGGACGTGGTCTTCTCACAGATTGGCAAGTCAGATACAGTGACAGTACACTGGGGTGTGATTTTTACCTCAAGGGCGTGAATTTGGAACTCTACCTGCAAGTTATCGGCATGCTCATGGTGCTCAGCTGTATGTTGACACTTGCTGTTGTGTACACCAGACTTTTCCTGATTTCGCGCCAGCATGCACGACGCATTCACGTTGACAACCAGCCTGCTGGACAGGGAAACCGACTCGCGAGGCCTGCTACCAAGACTCTGCACACCATGCTGCTCATTGCATTAAGTGCACTTTTTTTCAATCTTCTGCCCATCATATACTTGTCATTTCAAATTCAGAACAATGCAACGCTGTCGTTCTTTCTGGCTGTGCTACCCATACTGACAAACAGTTGGGTAAACGTTGTCATCTATTACCTCAAGAATGCGGAAATTCGCCGAGCGACAGTCAATCTCCTTGTATCATGCTACAACTTTTGCAAACGGTGCCCACACTTCAATACAAACTAAGGAACTCGAAAGACAGATTTAAACAAGAATCCATCGTTTTCAGCTCAAAAGCAACTTATAAGTCTCAATTTGCTGTAACACCTGTGTGATGGTGAGTCACTTTTGTGACTCACCATCAAACGGTGATGGGGTGATCTGATGAGCCGGTTAAATTGGACAGGTGTGCTCTGGGCTTTAGGTTAGACTTAAACAAGTCTATTTCACAAGTGAGAGAGAGTCAGTCAGTTTGATGAAGACTGTATCATGACCCTCTGGGACCAGCAAAAAGCTTATCAATCTATGGACCATTTCACCTGTTATGTCATAACTGTCAGTTGCTAAGTAAGTTGCCTGTCCATAATGTCCCTCATATTGCACTGCGCTAAGTCAACACTTCCACGCCAATGCCAATTTCGTGTGACAAACACACAGTGAAGAGTAGAATAGTTGCTGCCCCCAAAGGAAAGTCAATATCAAGTGACAGTCTGACATGGCCTGATAAACCCAATGCTACTTTTTAATCAATGCTTCATTACACGGATTTCATTTTGGCTAGAATCTGACTCTTTTCATCTTAACCATCAATCAAAAGTCTACAGAATGCAATAAGAGACTTGGCAGTACGATAACAGAGCCACACCTTTTTTTTTAAGTCCCCAAATCACAGTGTAATGCATCATGCGTGTATACTGTTAATGCAGAACTCCTTTGTAGAGTGGTCGTCGGTTCTCGAATTAAACCAAATGTTCGGGGCTTGAATTGTGCATCAAACCAGCTAAGACTTCTCCACATCGCACATATTTCGTCATCCCTTTTATTGTTCTCTCAGCACACTGTCAGATTCTCAGCCAAAATAAACCCTGCCTTGAAATTCAGACTTCAAATATTTTGCAGTTTCAAGTCATCATCAGCGTTCTGTTTCCAGCATGACTGCAGTAGCTTCAACGCATACGTCAATGGACTTGGGATTTTACAATGCTTCTCCATTCAATGCATCTATTACACCAGAAACTGGAACCAGTGATTACCTTACCGACGTTATACGCCTCATCTTTCTCATCACAGAAACTGCTCTACTCCTGACACTGAACCCACTTTGTCTCCTGGCTCTAAGCCATGTCCACGACACGGTCCAAGACACCACCAAAGTGTTTCTCCGCTCCATGACGGCTGCTGATCTGGGGGCGGGGATTTTCGGGGCCATCCCAATGACACTTTCGGTGATTTATGGAACTTGGCCGTTGGGGCAAGCATTGTGTGGAATGCAGTCATTTCTGTTCACCTCCTGTGCCCTAGGATCCCTCCTTTCACTGCTCTTGCTATCTGTAGACAGGTACATATCTGTTGTGTATGCGCTCCGTTATTTTTCCTTAGTGACAGTGAAGCGAGCCCGAATTGCAGTCGGTGCTGCATGGGCAGTTGCCTTGTGCATAGTGACAGGAAGTGCTCTTCTCACAGATTGGCAAGTCATATACACTGGCCTTACACTGGGGTGTGCTTTTTACGTCAAGGGCGTGAATTCATACCTCTACCTGCAAGTTATCCTCACGTTCATTTTGCTCAGCTGTATGTTGACACTTGCTGTTGTGTACACCAGACTTTTCCTGATTTCGCGCCAGCACGCACGACGCATTCATGTCGACAACCAGCCTGCTGGACAGGGAAACCGACTCGCGAGGCCTGCTACCAAGACTCTGCACACCATGCTGCACATTGCTTTGTCTGCACTTTTTTTCAATCTTCTGCCCCTCATATCCTTCATTTTTCGACTTTATGATAATGCGATGATGACCTTTTTTCTGGCTGTGCTACCCGTTCTGACAAACAGTTGGGTAAATGTCGTCATCTATTACCTCAGGAATGTGGAAATTCGCCGAGCGACAGTCAATCTTCTGGTATCATGCTACAAATTTTGCAAACGCTGCCCACACTTCAATACAAACTGAGGTATTTAAACGACAGATTCAAACAAGAATCAATAGTTTTCAGCTCAAAAGCAACTGATATTTCTCAATTTGCTGTGACATCCTGTGATGGTGAGTCACTTTTGTGAGTTTGTGTGGCTCCAAGAAGTACCTATGGAAACCCAATTCTTTTCAAACTATTTCAGAATTTCAAACTGTATTTTCAGATTCGTAAGAAAAAGGCTTATTTTTTCAAGTTCATCAATAACGGAACAATTCTTTGTGGGATTCATTCTGTTATAAAACGTGTAATCAAAACTTGTGCATCTTATTCAAACATCAAACACAGTTTGTGGTAAAGACAGTTTACGGTGAATCATATGCAAGATGTACAAACATGTAATCGTCAACAGAAGTGACAAAGGATGTCAATTTTCTGCAACATTTGCCATGGTTGCCCGACTGATTTATCTATGTTTTTCCTCTCAGGTAGGTAAATCATCTTATTCTCTACGTAAGAGATTTTTGATTCAGAGGACCGTCTGATACATTTCTTCTGATTTGTAATAAGTGGTTGGTGTATTTGAGTCCGTCTAAGCCTCTGTGTTACAATGTACATGTCAGATAATTGATATCAATTAACAAAATTATTCTTTTGGTGTTTTGAAAACCAAGTTTTTGGGATGTTGTATTTCCAGTCTATATTGGTGTTGTAATTTCATTAACGCCACAAATTTCATAGTAAAGAATGAAATAATTTCTTAAAATGATAAATGCTGTTACATGTATATGCAAGTTTTGCCATCACCTGCAATTACATGGAATTACTGAGATTGTTTTTATTGTTGTACAATGTATGTACGTAGGCTGAACTGGTGGAAAACACTGTAATTCCATCAGCCAGAGTTGTGGTCACGTCCACCACTAGTTAATAATAGTCTGAACCCAGACTCAAACGGCAGGCCATGACAGGCCTTTTAAAGTCTGGCCAGGGCACTGATTGTCATACATGTACCTACCAGTATGGCACAGGGGACAACCTCATTTACATATTCTGAAGAA